ATTTGATCCATTTCCGGTTAATGAAAATATTTTCCAACACAATCAAAACCGTAAGATCTTAAATCGGTTAATCACTCCGAAGAAAGCATTAAGAATAGAATCAAACACAACTGTAGCAAACAAAAATCATATATATGGAGAAATGGTCTGAAAGTAGTTACATGCAATCCAATCAAAGAGTTTTAGCTCCTCATGGAGGAACTCATTACAAAGCAAGAGAAGAAGGAGAAGAAATTACAACAAAACTTGTTGGATTCAAGTTGATATGCGTTCCCACGAGCTCCTTTAGGTCTAAATCGTCTTTCTTTCTTTCTCCCCGTGCAAGCCTCTCTTCTCTCTGTTCTTTCATTTCTTAAATAGAAATTAGGTATAAGAAGAGGAAAATCCGCTGGGCGCCGGGATGATGCGCTGGGCGGATTGAGCCCCACGTGCACCACTTCGTTCAGGAAACTCCGCTGGGCGGATTGGGTTTCATCCAAAATCCGCTGGCTGCATTATAAATCTGCTGGGCGGATTTTCTTCCTCCAAAATTTCTCCTTCTTTTCCTTCAAATCCTGAATCAAAGAGCATCTTGAGAGAATAGTTACTTGATAAAATCTTCTCATGATTTTTATACTCTTTAAGGTTAAGATTACAGCAAAAAGATGCAAATGTTGTCTAATAAATATGAGTTTCTCAATGAAATTTATACTCAATTAGTTCCTTAACAACTCCCTAAACTTTTGATATATAGACAATTATAACTCCTTAAGACTATTTAACTATAGCAGCTTATTTTTATGATTTTATACGATTTTATACATTTGATTTTATTTTGCTTAAATAGGTTATAAGTTAATTTTTAAAAAAACAACTTAATGATATTTTTTTCAAACAAAATTAAAAAATATATAATATTTTTAATTAGATTAAAAATGACTCATTATCTCGTTGACCTAGAGTTAAATTAGACTAATAATTTTTAGTTATTTTAAAATATAGGTGAATTTAGACTATTAAATTTTTCACTTTGAAAGTACATTTCGTAATCATTGGTATCACAATTATTCATATTTAGTTTATTACTATAGTTGATAATTGGGTAAATACACTGAGTCGGTGAATTTTAGCATATAAATGTTTCACACCATGCACCAATTCTCTAATTATGTACATGTATTTTTCGCAACACCTATATTTTAGTATTTTCTCTTGTTGATAAATGTGGTTCATTATTGAATAAAAACATTCAACATATTAAGTGGTATGCAAATATAGTATCATGATGTACAGAGAGCGAGTGTTTAGAATTGGAATGAGAATCGGATCGTGCAAGATAATAGTAATGGCTGAAGATTGGTTCTACACTGTAAATCTTTTTTTTTTTCGTTTGACTTATTTAGATTATTAAAATCATATTTATTCTATATTGACATTCCAATAATTAAATTTATACTAATTCAAGTTTTTGTAACAAAATTGTAATAGCATAATAATTTTATTTATTGCATTTTCATATTAAAAAAATGTAGATAAACATAGAACAACCAATAATAATTTGATAATATTAATTATAACAATCCATTGAACGTACATTAATACTTCAAATATAAATTAAATAAGAAAAAATTTCTCTAAGTACAAAATCATATTGCTAAATTAATTAAGAGAATTTAAAAAAATTAACTCTACTACAAATTTTTTGAGTGGATTTGAAGCACAATACAAGAAAATTTACTATGAATTATCGAAATTAGATTTTGATGAGAAAAATTGGATTTCATTGAGTAGATTTGATAAGATATAAGATTATGTTTTTTTTTTTTTAAATGTCAATAAACGAAAATGGATAATGAATTCACCTTGTAAATTATTGTCACCTGTGTAAGCCTTTCCTACATTTAAAATAATGCACCAATAAATCCATTTAAAGCATTTTAAAATTAGTATTTTACAACAAAGTCACAAATCTCTTTACCTTAAAATAGTTTATAGTCAACAAAGAAAGTGAGATTGTGAACTTTAAGCTAAGACCTCCTTAAGAAAGTAAAGAAAAATCATTCTTTAGTGGTTTTTAAGAAAGAAAATGGTCAAGTTGGAGTAAAAAGCTTAAATAAGGTGAAACTTAGCTTCGATTAAAAGGAAAGTAAAAGAAGAAATGAAAAATCTTAGTGTTATCTCTTTTCTATCAAATGGATAGAGATAGAAAAAAAAAGATGGAAATCCACTGAGTCAATCTAAGTACACTTTGAATGACATTGATGATGAAACAAGTTTTTGAAGGTAGATTAAAGGGTGCACCACAATGATCATTTTTTACAAGTAAAGTAAGATTTATGGCTTTTGTCTTTTTGCCTATCTATATAAATAAGAATTTATTGAAATATTAAACAAATTGATGAAATTGAGTGTGTTGTCCTTATGAAAACTTTTTCTCTATTTTGAGTAAAGAATTTTAGAGTGATAATTCTAAGTATAAGTTCCAGTTAGGATTACACCTTTTTAATAACTTTGATCGCAATTAGTTTCAGTTTGTGTAAAGTTTCCATTTTTAAGACTCTATAAAAACATTTTTATATCAGGTTAGAAAATAAAGTTGAACTATAATTTTTTCTAGCTTATTATATAAACTTTGCTATTTTTTTGTTTACAATACAATAAGTATGTTGTTATAAATAGATATTTTTTTCCATAAATAAAATTTAAGAGAGTGAGTGAAGGTGAGATGATACTAATTTTTTTTATAAGCAGAAAAAATCAATGTCAATTAAAAAATAGTAATAACAAAGTGGGATAAATTTTCTCCATCCCTTTTTATTTGCATAGACACACAAATTTATAGTGAATGAAACTTTTCTACAGGTTTTACCTGATCTAATAAATAATGGGCTTAATTTTTTATTATATAAATTTTATTAGAGAGGTTCAAAATTAAATCAATAAAAAAATAATTAATTTTTTTTTAAATTTAAATTAATTTTAATTTTTTATTTAATTATAATATATACTGAAATTAAATTATATTTATTATAAGTAAACCAATTAAAATATTAAACATGTGATAAAATATAAAAAAGGACCATTGACCTCGAAGTAATGCATTTTATTTATATTAAAACATATTCATTTAAACTATTAATTAATTATTTTTATGACTAAAAATATTAATTATTATTTTATTGACATGAAATATGTAATTTTATTTGAAATTTATTATAATTTAGAACATTATTTATTATTATTATTATTATTATTATATTTATTTAAATATTAGTTTTTTTTTCAAATTAAAATCACACTAAATTGAACCACATTAAAATTTTACATTTAATTCGGATATTTTTTTTATATAAAATTAAACCAAATGACACTAGGAATACCCAGAAATTTTACCAACCATTGTTCAATTTATTTAAATATAATTAATTAGTTCTCACCAATATTAAATTTTATTTTAATATTTATTTTTATGGTTCATCATTTTGATTTTTTATATTTTTTAAAGTTTTAATTAATAATAATGTGATCAATTTAATAATAAAAACAACATGTTTAGTAATATATTAGAGATAATGAGTGAGGGGAGAGGATAAAAAAACAGAGAAAATAAAAAAATATTAAAATTAAAATATAACAATTAATTGTTTAAAATTATGTTGATAATAATTAATTTATTTTATTATAATAAATCAATTATCAATTTAATTAAAAAATATTAAATATTTTACAGATAATATAATTATTATAACTAAAATATATTTATTTATTAATATTTATGATATTATAAAAATCTAAAACATTTTTAAAAGAAATTAAATAAACTAATTTAAAAGTGTTAAATATTAACTAATTATAATTGTCAAATTTAAATAATTTTATAAGTTTCAGTAAAAATTATTTTTAATAAAATTATAAATAAACGATAAAAAAACATGTGTTAGAATTTAAAAATCTAAAATATTTTTTTATCAAAATATACACGTTAATTTTTGTATTATATTATTTACACAAAATATTTATTTTTTTATGTTATTATATTTTAATAAATAAATTAGGTTATTATAATTATTATAATCTTTACATGTTTATAATTATATTAATAACTTTTATATTCATATTATACTATCTGAATAACGTTTTTTAATGTTTGAGTAATTTTTTTAATGTATATGATAAATTTCATTTATTAATATATTTCTATATTTATATTATGAATTTCAGAAAATTATATGTATTTTTAATTGCATTATATGTTACAAGAGTAATGATTTTTTAAAAATTATGTTAAGTTTTACTTTATATTTTCAAATTGTAATAATGATTTAACGGATATAACAAATTTTAAATTATATTTTATCTATTTTAATTTAATTTTTTACATTATTAATGTAAAAAATAGTTATTTATTTAGTGTTCTCATATTTAGAAGTATTTTATTTTGATTTTTTCGTTCACATACCATTTTAATATTTTTAACTCCTAATAAATTAAAATTAAGAAAAAAAATAACATTAAGCAATCTAAATATTTAAAAATAATGTGTAAAGATTAGAGTGAAATATTTTGAACTGTATATATAAGTTGAATGACAGGTTTGTGTGACAAAAATATCAATTAAACATATAAAAATTTAATGTGTCAATGAAAAAATCATTTAAAATTTATATTAATGGAACTATTATAAAATGAAAGAAATATTACTGCAATGTTTAGATTTTAAGAGAAAATAAAGAAAAGAGATATTGAAACTGCAATGCTACTGATAAATGTAGATGATGAGATGCCATATCTTACATTTACAACCAATTCTTGCAATTTTTAATTTACATTCAGATTCCCTTTTCCCCCAATAATCCGAAACCCTAAATTTCTTTGCCCGCAGCTTCGCCGTTTCTCAACAATTATTAACCTAATCAACAATCACACACCAATAACTATTCATAATCCCAAATTCTGTGTGAATTACTTCACTTCCTCTTACTCTCTTGTTTTGATTCTCATTCTTTACTTTGTCTTCCACTATGAAAGAGGGTAAATCCGTTAAACTCAACCATCAACAGTCGCACCAGAACGGTCACCTCTCGCCTTCAAAATTCGCCAAATTGTTTGATCCCGAAGCTTCCTGGGATAAGGTTTGTTTTTTCACTTCATCCTTCCTAGATCCATTCCTGTTCCCAATTTGAGCCATAGATGCTTACTTAAATTTCACTTAAAACGAAATAACTAGTTTTGAACATGCTGAGTTGAATTATTTGCCTACCTGAAACTTGGGTAAGCAAAAGAGTAGAAATAGAATGCAATAGTTGTGTTAGTATATAACATGTTCTCGACTTCTCTTATAGTATGCTATTAAGATTTAGAACAACGGTATTTAATTTTTTAATGATTTAAATTAGTGGTTATTTCACATTCTTATTTTATTTTGCTTATGTGTGCAGTTGTTAGTTAATTATTTTAATCATATGCTAACAAACAACCCTTGTTTATCTGTTGCCTCCAAGCAGGATCAATTGGGAGACGTCTTACATTGGATTAGACAAGGGCTTGGCCTTGTGTGTGGATTCCTTTGGGGTTCTATACCTTTGGTTGGAGGCATATGGTTCATCCTGTAAGTGCTTCTTTTTTTTATCCAGTATTTGTATGTCATTGAAGTTCTCCATTGATTATTAACTCTTTTAGTTAATATTGTGATATTGTGTGCAAAGGACGCCATGTTCGTTAGTTTTGATTGTCTACCCAACGGTGTCATGCAAAGATCTAGAAACATCTTGTGTAAATATCCGGATGTGGCAATGATATTTTTTGGTGGTCCTTTATCATATGGCTTAGGAGTTGGATCAACTTCTGTTCAGGACATTTATGAGATAAGGAAGTACATAGTGGAGAAGGAGAGAGTGTTCTATCAATGATGAATTGACTATGGGGAAAAGACCATGCAAATCTATGACAGGGGTATATGGGTGAAAAAAAAAAAAACTAGAGTGATTAAACTGTAAAAGTGATAGATATCTAATGTGACATTGTTTTGTGAAAATTTGTTTATATTGACCTTTAGACAAGTATCCAGTAATCTATAGAAGTAAGTCAATCATTAATGAGATTTAGGCTACAGTAATCAAGTTACCTTTAATTTTTGCAGGAATCAGTTTTACTTTATGCAATAATCAATTTTATAAACAGAAGTATCAATTAATTGTTATGACCTTATTAAATATAAATTCTCATACTTACCAATATCACGATGCTTCTTTAACATCATAAATTTTTATTTTTTATTTTTTCAAATTGAAATCCTTAGTTCATAGCTTCTTCCATGCACTTTTTGTGCCACTAAGAATGAAATGTTAGACCACCACTTAACACACTTTAAGTTTGATGTTCTTTTGTCAAATGCTTTGCTGTTTTGCAGCTTTTTAGCATTATCGACTGGGGTTATATATAGTTATTATGCAGTAATATTAAAGGTTGATGAGGAAGAGTTTGGCGGTCATGGAGCCCTCCTTCAAGAGGGACTATTTGCTTCTATAACTCTTTTCCTGGTAATATGTTATGTTGGTGATTGCTTTGTCTGCTGTAGAAAATGAGGCTTTTACTGTTCTACAATCTAACTTCAATTTAATATCTGTGCAGCTTTCATGGATTCTAGTTTACAGTTTAGCACACTTCTGAGTGGCTGGGCATTGAAGCTTCAACAGAGTTGAAAGATTTACTTGATTGCATTTGCCCGTGTTGCAGTCATCTGCTTTACTTCTATGTAAAATGTTCCAATTTTGCAATGCATGCATGAACATTAGCTTCTGCATCCCATGGTAATAGCTGTTTTAGTCAAGCATTTCTAGTGACACCTCGTACTACAGTAAATTGTATGGATTGCAGAACTGATGACAATCAAAATTCTGTTTGTTGAACCGTGAAATAAAGTTGCTTGCAGGCAAATTCTGAAGTACTATTTATCCTCGATGTTTACTTCATAAACATAGAATTCCTGAATGGGTCCCTGCATTTTGTTGGGGTCTTTCACTAGGGGTGTTTTGGTTGCAGCTGTTATTAACTGATTATTTATTTAACGATTTAGTGGTGTATTTATGCATGCAGAGGCGGAGAGAAGGGGTGGCATGGTGGGTCATGGTCATCTCAAACTTTACTAATTTTTCTGAGTATTATGAATAAAATAAAAAGATTGCTACCTTATGATGTACTATCATATGTTAATTTTTCTTTATTATATACTATTGAGTTGTTTTCGTCAAATACAAAACAATCTACTTTCTCAATTTTTTTATTAAAAAATAAATAAAAGACTCAGCTTGAATGATAAGTTTGTTATTTTTTCTCTTTTCAAAATAAAGAACACTTTTTATTTTTTCTTTAGACTAAAAAAATTTAATATCTCATATTTCAAAACTTAACCATTATAAAAAAGAATAAAAATCTTTTAAGTTGGTAAGTTTTATCTTACCCTTTGTCTCTTTCAATTTAACTTCATCCACTTTGATAAGGTAAGTTTATATTTTTATTTATTATATATTTTTATTTTTATATTGATTCTTACTTTTTCTATGTCTTGATTTTCTTTCTTTTTTATATAAAAAAAAGAAGGTAACTTGTCATAGGGAATACCAGGGGTTATGTTGGACAAACAAGACAATATTTAAATTTTGTTTCTATTTGTGTTATTATAGTTATTAGAAAAATTGGAGGTGAATTCCTCAAGTTGGAGTTCAATTCTTCAAATTTTGTTTCAATTATTTTTTATTTCCTTTAGGTTAAAAGATGTATAAGAAAAAAATAATTGATTTTTTTTAAAAGAAAAGGAAGAGATGAAGAAAAAACACCTCGTAACGTTTAAAGAGTTGTTGATTCTTATTTAGTTGATGGTTGAATGATACTTAAAAATTTATTAATCTTTTTTTAATAGATACATATTTATTAAGAATGTTGAAAGTCCCACATCGCCTACCTCATATCATTTGGTATGGTTTAAATACATGTTAGGCTACTCCACATATTGCCAATTGGTTTTATGTTGGAACCTTAACATGGTATCTAGAGCTTAAGGTTATCTTGAATTTTTTTTCCGCCTTTTGTCCACTGCTGGAGCCGCCCCACCGTTGCTAGAGCCGCCTCACCATCGTCGGTAAGCTGATCCTCCACATCAGAAAAGAATTATCTTTGTCATTGAATTTTATTTGGTAGTGTGAAAGTGCATGTTTAGGAAAGTTACGGCAAGGAAAGACTTGGTATTTAAGTGTGTCCATTAGTGACCCACCTCTCTTTCCGGGAACTTACCTAGTGTACTAGTTCACGTTCATCGTCACCACTGCCGCTTGGAGCGATCCATTGGGTCCGCGTTGTCGGAGAATTCGCCGGAGTTTCATTTTTTTTACCGGTGACATATGATTTTGCTTGTCTCGGTCAGGGTTTGTTCTCCCGCTCTTCATGACTTCTTCCACTATTTCCAATTTTGTTAACGATTCTTTTGTGTTGACATCCCATCGTGATGACCGGGCTCGCCCTCGCAAACAAGAAAAATGGCGTCCTAAGTGTGAACATTGTGGCAAGCTAGGTCACAAGATTAACAAGTGTTATACATTACATGGTCGTTCTCCTCGATCTGCTGTAGTTGTTCGGACCAATCTTTCCCCACCTTTATCCGTAGGGGATCTTCCTTCTTCGTTGCATCAGACATGTACTGCTATGTTCAACAAATTTCTCGAATGGTATAAGGATCAACAGTCTTCTAGTTCCACTATATCCATCACACATACAAATACATATTTTCGTTGGTCCGACCCAATCATTTTCTCCTGGTCCTTGGGTTTTTGATTCAGGAGCCATCGATCATATTACCGGTAACAAATCTTTGTTCTCCTCTTTATCCTCTCCTAATCATTTACCTTACATTACATCTGGTCGATGGCTCTAGAGTATCATCTCATGGTGTTGGAACGGTTAAACTCTTTCCTTCTTTAACCATTGATAATGTTCTTTATGTCCCCGGGTCTCCTTTTAACCTTGTTGTCCATCGGTCGTCTAACTCGTTCTCTTGATTGTGTTGTTACTTTTATCAACAATTCATGTGTTTACAGGACCGGAGTTCGAAACAGGTGATTGGCACGGGATGTGAGTCTCATGGTCTTTATTATCTCCGTCCCTCTACACATGTTAGTACAGTTATGGAGTCTCCTCTCTTCTTCATGCACGGTTAGGTCATCCAAGCCTTGCCAAGTTACGAAACTTGTCCCTGCCTTGTCTAACTTATCTAGTTTGGCGTGTGAGTCATGTCAATTAGGCAAGCATAGTCGTACTTCCTTTCCTCGTAGTTTCACACGTGGTGCTTCGTCCCCTTCTGCGTGGTTCACTCGACATTTGGGGACCTAGCCGCGTTAAGTCTACTTTAGGTTTTCAATACTTTGTTACTTTCATTGATGATTATTCCGGATGCACTTGGTTATTTTTGATGAAAAATCGTTCGAATTATTTCATATCTTTCAAACTTTTTTTAATGAAATTCAAACTCGGTTCGGTGTTTCTATTAGAGTTTTGCGTAGTGATAATGGCCGTGAATATCTTTCTCATTCTTTTAAATAATTCATGGCTTCTCACGGTATTTTGCATCAAACTTCTTGTGCTTATACACCTCAACAAAATGGTGTAGGCTGAACGTAAAAATAGACATCTTATTGAAACAACTCGCACACTTTTAATTCATGGAGATGTTCCTCAACATTTTTGGGGTGATGCTCTTCTTACTTGCATGTTATCTCATTAATCGCATGCCTTCTTCGGTTTTAGATAATAAAATACCTCATTCCATTTTATTCCCTCATGAACCACTTCATCCTTTACCTCCGAAAGTTTTCAGGTCTACATGTTTTGTTCATAATTTCAATTCTAGTGCTGGACAAGCTTTCTCCTAGATCACATAAATGTGTTTTCTTAGGGTTTACAAGATCACAAAAAGGATACAAATGTTTTTCTCCTTCTCTTAACCGTTATTTTGTGTCAAAAGATGTCACCTTTGATGAGTTGTCTCTTTATTTTAAAAGTCAAACTTCACCTCTGTCTCCATCCAATCTTGTCAACACTCCTAATACATTTAATGTTCCTGTTGTTTGTGACCCTCTAATTGTGTCTTCTTCACCATTAGTTTACGCTCCATGATTAGCTTCTTCTCCACTGCCTCTTCGATTTATAGTTCTCGAAACCAATCACAACCACCACCATGTGACTCTACTCAAGTGCCAACTACTCTGTCTCCTCCGGATCGACACATGAGTCCGACCTTCCCATTGCCCTCCGAAAAGGTATTCGTTCTACACGTAATCCCTCTCCCCATTATATTGCTTTGAGTTATCATCGACTGTCATTACCTTTTTATACATGTCTTTCCTCTATTTCTTCCGTGACCATTCCAAAAGCTGCTCGTGAAGCTTTAGCCCATCCTGGTTGGCGTCAGGCCATGTTAGATGAACTAAGTGCTCTTCATAATAGTGGAACTTGGGAATTGGTCCCGTTACCGTCTGGGAAATCTGTTGTTGGTTGCAGGTGGGTGTTTGCTATCAAAGTTGGACTCGATGGTACTATTGATCGCCTCAAAGCTTGTCTTGTGGCCAAAGGTTATACTCAAATTTTTGGGTTGGATTATGGAGATACCTTTTCCCCTGTGGCAAAGATGGCTTACTGTTCGTTTATTTATCGCCATGGCTGCTTCTTCAACAATGGCCTCTTTATCAACTTGGATGTTAAAAATGCTTTCCTCAATGGTGATTTGCAAGAAGAAATATATATGGAGCAACCTCCTGGGTTTGTTGCTCGGGGAGTCTTCTCGGGATGGTATGTCGTCTTCGCAAATCCCTATATGGCCTAAAACAGTCTCCTAGGGCTTGGTTTGGAAAGTTTAGCAAGGTTGTTCAACAATTTGGTATGACTCGGTGTGAATCGGATCATTCTGTCTTTTATCGACACTCGAGTGCTTGGATGTGTTTACTTGATAGTATATGTTGATGATATTGTTCTTACAGGTAGTGACAACCATGGCATCTCTCGGTTGAAACAACATCTTTGTCACCATTTTCGGACCAAAGATCTTGGCAAACTTAGATATTTCTTGGGTATTGAGGTAGCACGGTCCAATGATGGTATTGTTATATCTCGGAGGAAGTATGCCATAGATATTTTGGAAGAAACTGGGTTGATGAGTTCAAAGTCCGTTGATACACCCATGGATCCCAATACTAAACTTCTACCAAATCGGGGGAGCCTATATCTGATCCTGAGCAGTATAGAAGATTGGTTGGAAAATTGAATTATCTTACAGATTACTCGTCCCGACATTTCCTTTGCGAGTCGATGTGGTAAGTCAATTTCTTAATTCACCATGTGAAGATCATTGGAATGCGATCATTCATATCTTGAAGTATATTAAAGGATCTCCTGGAAAAGGATTGTTATATGCTTCTAATAACCATACAAGAGTTGTTTGCTACTCGAGATGCTCGATTAGGCGGGATCTCCTTCGGATAGAAGATCTACATCCGGATATTGTGTCTCCATTGGTGGTAACTTGATTTCATGGAAAAGTAAGAAACAAAGTGTTGTGGCAAGATCCGAGTGCGAAGCAGAATATAGAGCTATGGCCTCGAGCTTCCCGTGAACTTGTTTGGCTCAAGCAATTGCTTAGAGAGTTACAATTTGGAGATGTCACTCAAATGACACTTGTGTGTGACAATCAGTCGCTCTTCATATTAGTTCTAATCCTGTCTTTCATGAGAGGACCAAACACATTGAGATTGATCTGTCATTTTATTCGAGAAAAGATTATGTCCGGAGATATCAAGACTGAGTTTGTTAACTCAAGTGATCAGTTAGCAGATATTTTTACTAAATCTTTACGGGGTCCTAGAATTGATTATATTTGTAACAAGCTTGGCACATACGATTTGTATGCTCCAGACTTGAGGGAGAGTGTTAGATATTGTTTATATATTATTTGATATTGTTAAGATATTGTTAGATATTGGTAACCACAATATCAAACAATATCTTCTGTTTATTCTGTTACTTTCAGTTACTCTTTTAGTTGTATTTCTCTACTATAAATAGACCACCCTATGTGTGATTTATACACAAGGGAAATTAATTCCAAACTATATTTTCTTTATATTCAACATGGTATCAGAGCCAAAGCCTAACATCTTTCCGGTTATTGTCATGGGCCAAAAGTTGCCCTTTAGTTGGGTCAAAAGTACCCTTTGCCTGGTCCGGCAGGCTTCGTTGGAGGGTGTGTGTTGAAAGTCCCACATCGCCTACCTCATATCATTTGGTATGATTTAAATACATGTTAGGCTACTCCACATATTGCCAATTGGTTTTATGTTGGAACCTTAACAAAGAATAATTTTGTTTAAAGTTAAGAATGAATAAAAATCTTAATCCGATTTTTTTTAAATTCGATTTTCTATTAATTAAAATTTTGGTTGGATGAAAATAAATTTCTTCCTGTACTAAGTGAAAGGTAAGAAGATTTTCATCATCTGGATTTTGATTGTTTGCCAGATAATAACTTTATTATAATAACGTTGCCCTTTTTCTTTGATCCCAAAAAAAAAATGAAAGGATCTTCTAGATTGCACATTTATTCTGATTAAAGGGTATTTGTGGCTAAAAAGGAAACATGTACGTCAAATGAAAATTTCTTCTATTTATACATACTAAAAACTTATCAAAACTGTGTAAGCTTTTTGGTGTACAACTGTCATTTACTGTTTTGAAGATAAGCAAAACAATGCAATTTCCCTGCAATTTAAATTTTCTTCTAGCTTAAAAATGATATAATCGAGTAAATTGGCATCAACAGAAAGTTTGCAGTTCAATTTGAGTTTGTTCTTATTATTGTTACTTGTGTTGCTTTGATCAATAGACCATGTGATGACTTGTCGCAATTTTTTATTCTATTTTTGTCAATGTTTTATTTAGAAAGAAGAACCATAAAATCCTTGGTATCACCTGTAAGTGGAAAGAATTATGCTTGAATTTTGAAAGCGAGCGAGTTAGAGACTATAAGAACGTTTGTTTCAATTTATGATTTTATAATCCTATGAATATAATTCATGAGAATATATATAATTGAAAAATTAATCTCAAGCACATGTTAGAAACGTTTGGTTATTTTTTAATTTTCTCGAAAATATTTTTAAATTAATTAAAATAAATATAATTTATAATCAAGAATTGAAGCTTTTCTCATTCTCTATACGCTTAGCATGAGAAAAAAAAACTGTACATGAGAGTCTAACTTTCCAGAAAATAAAACACACTCGAGAATAATTTTGCATAACCTTTAAAAAAAAAAGAAAAAAATATAGGAATAAACATTATCATTTTCATATTCCAGGAATGCAGAAAGATTTCATAAAACAAACCTCTCACAGATTTCTCATTGTTAAGATTCCAACATAAAACCAATTGGCAATATGTGGATTAGCCTAACATGTATTTAAACCATACCAAATGATATGAGGTAGGCGATGTGGGACTTTCAACACACCTCCTCCAACGAAGTCTGCCGGACCAGACAAAGGGTACTTTTGACCCAACTAAAGGGCAACTTTTGACCCATGACAATAACCGGAAAGATGTTAGGCTTTGGCTCTGATACCATGTTAAGGTTCCAATATAAAACCAATTGGCAATATGTGGAGTAGCCTAACATGTATTTAAACCATACCAAATGATATAAGGTAGGCGATGTGAGACTTTCAACACTCATATTTAATAAAACAGTTCATAAGAAAATCAGGATTCAGTGCACCAAACATAGTGTTGATGGTTGCAGATCTAAAGAACCGCCACTAACAACTAAAAGAAGTTAATAGGAAAGGTAACTAGAGGAACAATCGAATCAACAACCGAGACCTGCAATCATGGGATAGTATAACATGCATACAACATCGATAATAATAAAGTATCTAACACTGTCTCTGACATTTGATATTTGATCACAAGTGTTTCTACAAGAGTGAAAGAAATATAAAAAATGCAGAGCTCATTTTTTATACACGAGAACCGTGATTCTGCTTTACACGAGACATCAATTGTCATGAGAATTCAATGCTAAAAAATCTTGCATAACACACTACACGCACAATAATAAAAGAAATTAGTTGTCCATCAATTAAAAAGTCAACTTCTTCCTTATGATAAGTATTTCAAATCGGTTTCAGGCAAAACTGTTTCAGACTAAATATAAGAATAAGGAAGGAATGGATGATACTCTGATCCTTACTATACACCACACACAAGCAAGTCGGAAGAAAATTCACAGCTGTTTAGCGTCGGGATCTGCCTCTTAGTGAAACGAGATAAATACGCCCATAAACCCACTGTCTACCAAATCTTGAGACTGATTGCTGAAAAACAATAAAATCTGTCATACAAAGTGCAACATCATTTTTGGTGGATGAATTTTCTTTTGGGAGCAGAGGATGAAAAATGGAAGGGAAAATTCACATTATCAGCATGCATTGCATAACCATTCTCAATCGTAACAGTTTAGTTCTTTGAACAGCCTTCTTCAAAATAGTTCAATAAAAAGTAATAAATAAAAGTATACTTAGTTACCTCCACTTTTGTACGAAATTCTAATATGCATTCACACACATGACAATCTGCTCTATGAGGTGACTCAATATTCCTGTCCATTCTCACAAATGCAAATACCTGAAAGAAAACTAATGCAGCTCAATGCACACAGTGAAATTAAATCTTACACATGTAAGGTGCCTCACAAGCTAGACACATATAAACATAGGTGGAGGGACAGGATGGAAAAAAAACAAAGGACAGTTGTCGCAATGACTGACCTCTTCTCCGCAATTTGGACATGCGCCTTTTAGTGCCACCAAATCATTCATCCACAAGCCTTGAAGCACCTTAACTGTGAAAGGACAGTTAATAAAATACAAATGTAGAAGCAGTGATAAATTGACAGTATCATCAAATGATTGACCATTGTGACGTTATAGAGAGAAAATTTTCAAATAAGGAATTCCTAACTGAACTAAAACAAGGGGGGCATTTGACATATTTTTTGGTGTACAAGTTTTAAGATTAATGCATAAGATGAAGGGGAAAAGCAGCAAAAAGATTCTTACCTGAAGCTGATGCAACAGGATAGCCGATTACAAAACCCAGCCCAACGAAAATAAGGCTGTTCACCAAGGCCAGAAACCCAACTCCAGTTGTTTGGCTACCAAGTGATAAGCCTGAATCGAATGCATTTTGATAAGCCATGCCAACAGTGTATGATATGGGCCCAACACAGGCTAAACTGCCAAATGCAAGGAATATGGCCCATGTGCTTGCTAAAGCAAAAACCATAGACAGATCTTCCTGCCCTACGACCACATCATTCAATATTCTAGAAAAGAAACCAAGAAGAAAGGAACACAAGGCAGGGAGCCCTATACATGTAGTGGCTACAGACATTCAATAGAATAGAAATACATCATCATATCACACACAAACTGACATTCTTGAGTCACATAATGACATGTCTGAATGAGAGGAATGAAGAGAGGAAGAAAACACAAATAGCAATACATTTCTTTTATTTGGTTGAATAGAAAAAATAAACATTGACTTTTAAAAACAAAATAGAAGAGCCTGTTTGATTCCCTTCCAATTTTTTAATTCTTTTAGAAACTGTTTTTCTACAATAACTCTGCACTACCCGGCAATCAGTTTCTCATGAAAAATCTACTTAAACTATGAAAATTACATTACAGACGCAGCTGAGAATGCTCATTCATTTCCTCGGTTTTCTTCAAGTGGTCAAGGGATAAAATTTTAGGAAACATAAATATGCTCAGGGAACAGACATTCTCAAATGTATCAAAATACAACAAATTTAATAGAACAAACAACTGTACTTTAAAATAGTAAACAAACAAGAACTTATTTTTTCTTTCCTTCCATCCTCTCCCAAATTCAAGTTTCAAACCAATCTCTTCCCTTTATTTTCTTTCCCGTGTATCAAACAGGGGGAAAGAGTGAAAAATTGGAAATAAATACTCCAGCACTTCATTCTAGAAACTATTGATAGTATTATAGGAAGTCAGCAACCAAGATTGCTAAATGGACATTGAGGAGGGATCACAACCCAGCAAAGACAAGTGGACGAAGAAGTTAATATAAAATGTGAAGAAAATGATATTACCTCAGCATCAGCAAATGTGGATTGCCTCCTGATACTGCACCGAGGATACTTGACAACAGACTTTGAACCATACCATCTTAACCTTAACTGTTTCCATAATTTTAGTTTAATTAAAGGAAAATTAGTCTAAATAGAAGCTTAGAACTATATAGTATCACATGTTAAACAGTAAATAGTGAAGGAAGGTAGCATTATAGCATACCTCTACTCTATCAAACATGTCATCAACAATGAGAGGGTGACCACTATAATACGCATTCCGGGCCTATTGCAAAAGCCAAACACTCATCAATGTTTCCAAAATAGTAGTAAAATTTAAGTTTTGCGGCGAGTAAAATTGAAATGGTTTGGTTTACTTGGCAATAGAGAGCTTCGAGGTTCTCTTTGTTGGCGGTTTCGAGGGGCCCGACGTAGATGCAGTAGGGTCCCTCGGGGCGTGGATCGGAGGTGGCGGAGATGCGGTGGCTTTTGGCGGAGATTCTGACGTGGCGGGTGGGTGTGGGGAGTTCCAGGAGCGTCGATTGGATGACGTGAGAGAGGCTCGTGCCGGCCATCAGCCCACGCCACAATTTCCAGCGAAACCCATTCTATTCATTTCATTTCATTTCTCTCCACATAATAATTAAATTATAATAAATAATAATAATAATAATAATAATAATAATAATAATAATAATAATTTAATAGTATTAATAAATCTATATTTCCACTTGCTCAAATATCTCTCTTTGCCTCTCTATCCACCATTCACAAAAAATGGATTCCTTTGCTTTCTTTTTCTCCTTTTATAATTAAATTATATTTTTTATTAAAACATGTCATTTTATCAGAAATATCATGACATATAGGATAATATTTTTTTTAATAATAATAATAATAATAAAATGTAATTATTAATGAAAATGCATATATAAATAATATAAAAATAGAAATAAAGTTTTATCAATTTTCGATTAAAATTTTTATAAACTAAATAAAAAAATTAACAATAATTTTTTTTTTTAAATAATAAGGCCTTGCTAATTTTATGACCTAACTTCGTTTTAATAAGTTTTTTAACATGTTATAAGTATACAATATTAATTAATTTTGTTGATGGTAAAATTTTATCATCTATACTAAAATCTTTCCCTCAATTTTATTTATTTTTTATCGTCAAAACTCAAATCTAATATATTATTTAATATATCGGAGTATAGTTTTACTAATACAAAATACCAAAAAAAAAAGATATTTGAAATAATACTGACGATTTAACTTCCTTGAATTTATGGATAAATAATCCCAATCTTTTATTTGGGCCTAGTACGCCATAATACGGGTAATTCTATTGGCACTTCTTTTTCACTTTTTACACTCTTTCTGAGTATTTTTGTAACTTTTTGTAAGCATCCAAAGAACATAGGTCAGTTTTATATTGTGTGCTGAAATTCAATTATTTAAGGTAAAGCCATATATTTAAACTTCCATGCCATACAATTTTATCCGTAAAAAATCATTTTAATTAATAAAAGTGACAATAATAATCAAATTTAAGAGAATTTGGTGATTATTACTAATTACTAGAAATTTTCTATTTTATGAGAATATTTTTGTAATTTTTTTATAAAAATTTGTGAGAGATAAGTTTTTTATAAATTTAAATCATTTTTCTAATAAAATTTGTAGAAAACAACTAGTAGAATAATAACGAGTTACGCGATTTTGCTTAATGAATTGGGAATATTGTATTGTCCCTCATCATATTTAAGTATATTTTATATAAAATCTCCATTTTATATTCATTAATTAAATAATAGTAAAGATATTTTAAATAAAAAGACTCTTAAATTCTAGTTAACATTGAGAACGATTTGGATATTAGTTAAATAATATGTTTTATATATTTTAAGCATTTGATGTTTATTGGATAGGATATAAATATAATTTTTATTTGACCTTATAATATAAAAATATAGCATGAAAATATCATTTTCTCGTCATTTTCCATGTTTAAAAATTGAGCTAAAACTAAATGTGTTAAATTATAACATTTTCTTAAAGTTTCATTATAGGATTACAAATTTTGTTGCCACCGTCCCTTAACATCATGGTTGTTGTTAACAACTTTTACCATTGGTAGGAAAATGGTTTTTAAAGATAAAATTTGAAGGTAATTAAAATCGAGTTTAAAAAGTAGAAGACATAATTAATGTGATAATGGAATATAATGATATTATATAATAATGGAAAATATAAATTATAAGACATTTATCGATTAAGAATTAATATTAATAATTTTTATATTCTTTTCTAAACTTTTTTAATTCATTGATTATATATATAATTGATTATGTTATAAATGAACAATATCTCAACTTAAGATACTACGTTATAATTATCATGGAAGATAAAAAAAATAGAATAAGAAGAATCAAAACTTATAAACCTTTTTCCTCGTAATAAGAGATAATAAATTTTCAAAATATCAAGTAACATATCAATTATAGTATATATGAAAAAAGGAAAATCAAGAAATAAAAAACTCTTTTATTTTAACATAAGTAAACTCTCACTACGAAAGAAAAATTAATAGGATCTAATCCGATAAAAAAATCCACTAATAACAATAATTGATGAATATATTACAAGTTTTTTTTGAGTTTCTAATGATCAACAAAATATTTTTTTTCTTCACGGGTAAGGTGGATAACTTTTCTATATAAAAACTAATTTGAATACTAGGTTCTTCTTTTTCTTTTATATTGACTTCTTCCTATTTCTGATCAGACGCACTGTTTATAAAACTTGGAAATAAAAAAATGAATTAAACTTGTGACTTAAATTTTTAGCCTTCTAAAGCTTATTTATACAGTAGAACTTAAATATATATATTTTTTAAAATTGATGTTTAACACTATTCGCTTAACGATTCGTTAATGTGCTAAACGAAATTGCTATTGAGTTAGTTAAATGAGATTCGATATATTTACTTAGTAATTGGTGTGTTCCCTCAACTGATAATCGATTATTAGGAATGAGTTTTCCGAACTGATTTTACCATGAATTTTCTAGTGTTAAGCGATTTGCTTAGATTAAAACTTTATAATTTCTTTATTTTGTCATTCCTACAAAAGTAAACAAATAATTAGTTAAGATATACAATTTAAACAATAAATTAGATTTAAAGAAATTTATTTCCTTTTTATAAAATCTTTGTTAAATAGTAATAATTAATTAACAAAATGTACTAAGTATAAATAAATACATTTTTTTTATAAAAATGTGTTCATCATCTTATTAGACCATGTGATGATAAACATATTGGTTTATCCATTATCTAAACATGTCAATAAGTTTCTATTTGACTTATTCAATCTCCTTTAAATTTATCTTCCAATTTAACATATTTTTTCTCGATAAGGTCAAGTAGGTCTTTGCGAAATAATAAATATTTCATTCAAGATTTTCACCTTGAGTAATTGAAAAAATTCAATTTAATCATAGTTTCAACACCATTATTATCTCTCATTCTCAAAGCATAAACTAATTATTGGGGAAGATAACAAAAAATACAACTAGAAAAAGCAAAATCAAGAATTGTTTTCTTCTTAATAAATGATGGTAACCTTCAAAATATCAAACAATATAAAAATCATAGTATGAATTAAAGATAACAATTACACCTGCACTTGCAAGGATCAATTTGTCTTTGCCCCCGAGTTTGATAAAAAAAAAATCGAATTTATCGAATGTAAGTTCTGATTTTCTTTATTTTAAAATGTTGGAAGCACCGATGACGAAGAATAATACAATCCCCGCTTTGACTCGTCCCTTTTTTCACTTGACTTTATATTTAAATTTAAATCCTAAATTATTCATTTTTTTTTAATTTTTTTTTCTTTCTTCACATTATGTATAAAGTAATTTTTGTTCCTATCTACTTTTTCATTGTATTATCTTTTCCAATCTTTCAACAAATTAGTTTATTACATTATTTTTTGTTCTCATTACTTTACTTTCAATCTTTTCCATCAATTTTATTTTTTCAATCTCTTAGTGAATTTGATAAATATAAAAGTAATTTATTTATCTCTAAATACTATACATCAATATTAGAAGTATCTAATAATATTATCTTATTTATAATTATTTTTATTATATTTTATTATGTCATTTTTTTGGATTTTATTATTTCATTTGTCACGTATAAAATGTTATCATAACATAGTAATTATATTTTCAAAGATTAAAAAAAACAATTAACACATTTATTATTTTGCATTAATTAAATAAGAATTAACTTATTAAATATTATATTATAAATTATATATTTCTCGTATCTATTAGTATTTTAAAATAAAAATTTAAAAATAAAACCATATACATGTAATAAATACTTAAATATAATATTATAATATAATAATAATAATAATAATATAAGTATATTATATTAGTATAAAAATATTAAATATTATTTTACATATACATTTTAATATAAATATAATAAATTAAAATATAAACTTAATTAATAATAATAATTATAAAGTCATAAATTACAAATATTTATTTACCTATAATAAATATATATAAAAATATTAAAATTTAATTTTTATAAGTTATAAGTTGTAATTATCAATTATTTTTAATACTTTAAAATATAATTATTTTATTAAAATAAAATTTGATATATGACAAATAAGAATAATAAAATCTAGAAAGTATGACCTAACAAATAACAAAATCTAATAAGGTAATCTAAAAATAAAATAATATTAGGTATTTCTATTATTGATGTAGAATATTTAGAAAAAGATAAAGGAGAAGAAAAATTATCTTTATATTTGTCAAATTGGTTAAAGAGATTGTAAAAATCAAATTGATAAAAAAAGGTGTGAGGAAAGAGATTGTAAAAATCAAATTGATAAAAAAAGGTGTGAGGAAAGAGAATAATGAAATGAACTGATTAGTTGAAAAAATTAAAAAAGAAAAAGAGTGAAAAGTGGATAAAAAAAAGTAAAAAATGTAAAATATAAAAGAAATAACCTTGCATATAATTGAGAAATAAAATGAAATACTTTAAAAAAATTAATATTTTAGAATTAACGCTTAAAATATAAAATCGAGATAGACATGAGATCGGGGATGAATATAGGATCGAGATAGAGATTGCATTACCCATCCTCTCTTGCCTCGACTCTTTAAAACATGAAAAATTTATATTAGCACTTGTTAATTCAATTTTTCTTCATCAAATTTAAAACAAGTTTAGTCAAATATGAGATTAATTGTTATCACTTATTAATTGATATAACACAAGTTTATTTTGAGCTTCTAATAATTAACATAACACTTTATGTTCAACAATAAAATAAATAATAGATAAATTTAACAAATATCTAATAACATAATCGAGAATGAAAATACAAAATAATAAAATAAAAGAACTTATCATTGGAGCTACCTTCTTTACACAAGACTCGAATACAAATAATGATAACTTTATTATAAATTAATAATCCATAATTATATTTTAGACATTCTTCCTACAAAACAGTATGGATAGGGGTTCAAGAACACTCTTGTTCGATAAATATTAATTCGAAAACGACGGAGAATTGGAAAATCATCTTGGTATCCTTTTCAAATATAATATGATGTATCATTACCTAATTTTTTTAATGGAAGTCGCTACTGGAGGGAAGGAACAAGGAGCATCAATTCTTCCTTTTCAAACCAGATTCTTTGGTCCCACTTGGATGTTTTACCAGTAATTCAGTTGTTACAGTTGTTATTTATTTGATATCTTAAAGAGCTGTTATCATCAACTGAATTATTATTAACCTTTGAGATGTTTCGTGACGGCAGTTGTGGATAGAAACTTCGATTTTCTTCTTCTTTTTGACGTATGATGGATGACACTTGTTCATATGCTAGAGAATAGGAATAGAAATTGCTCCCCAATCACAGGGTTCCCTCAAAAGATAAATAAAGAATTGGAAAAGACAGTGTGATGGTGTAGCGATGCTTTGAGATGAATGAATTACGATGGATGCTTGCTTCAAAAGACTCTGCTTTTTCATCAAGCAAAGTTTTGTCTCTTAAACAAGCAGAATTCCCGGATATTGGATTTATGATTTAAAATTATTAAGGAAAATGGTCCAACTTGAAAACAGGGTATGACCCCTTCAATACTTGGGTGACATGGCATCATCTCGTGTTGAGGGAAACGCCATCGTATGTATTTGTGAAGCACATTCTGTGAATAATTTCGCTGATTTAGTTTGTCATCAAAACAAAAAGTGAAGTGTAGGACATGAGATGACAGAAGAAATTATGAGACAAAAATATGGTTTGAGCCCCAATGGTGGGTGTGTCCAGTGTCTCCCCCACCCCAGTCCTTTTCCCTTTATCTGCAAGAAATAACTTTGTTGATGAATAGCAGCAGTCTCTAGGGTAGTATTTCCCCCAGGCTGGGACCCTTCTCTTATCACAAACTTTTGGGCTATAACCAATCTTATCTACTTTTGAGAACGCTGAACCGTTGGTGCGTTGGATCAGAAAGTTCAGTCAACTAAAATCTGAAAATTTAGTTGAATGCGACACTGATACCAACCCATTCCGTTTGTTGTTAGATGAGTCGCAGCTAGCCAAACTCGAATTTGGACGAACTAAGAGGCATTGAAACATGGGGTTGTTGTGTAGCAGATGATCACATGGAAGGGATATCGTAGATAAGATGGGAGTGAATGAATGAATGAACGAATCCAGGAACTCAATTTTTTGTGGGGATGCATGGACCACATTTCGTAGGAATTTTCAGCTCACATGCCACTGCCTAATTAATGTGTATCTTCTTCCATCTATGTCTTTCATGTCAGAACCCACCATGCACATGCAAACTTTAAACTCTTCCCAACCTCTGAAGCCGCAGTAACAGAAAGATATGCATATCACTAAATTAAAACATGCTTCACGCACTATTAATTATTTATAGACATATATTCTAATGGATCGAAAATTATAATTTATAATAATTCATATATTCCTTATAGACATGACATGGAAATTTTCCTATAAATACTACAATTTTTTGTTCATATTCGTAATAAAGCATGCATTGATTAGTCCATCTCGCGCATTGGTATTAGTTAAATTATATAAGATCAATATTTGACCTATCTTCTATCTTGTTAAAGTTTGGATTAGTGTCTTGTGCGTAACACAAGTTTTTTTAGGTAGATCTAATGTTTATGGATATGGAAAGATAGTTAAAATTATAATATATCGAGATAAGCAAGATATCCTCAAATTATGAGTGTCTTGTAACTCAAGTCTCACTACTAAGTACCTTGAGATGCAACATCCACTAAAAGAATCCATGAAATTAATAATTTATGAGTGTATAAACAAGCATTGATGTCTCTAGTTTACATAACACACGTTCAATTTTTTGTTTTAAGTTTCTTAACTTTTAATTAATATGTATTACAAAGGAATGAATAATAAAAATAAAAATAAAAATGTAATATTTATTCTTTGAATTTATATATAAAATAACGAAGATAATAAGATAACTATTTATAAAACAATTTAACTTATCCAATATTGACAAATTTAATCCTTGTATAACATATACATCTAAGTAAATAAGCTTCACTTTCTAAAGATATAATTTGGAACAAATTGTATTATATAATATACTCTTAATATAATTAACACATTAAATATTTTAGATGTTAATATGGATTTTAGCTCAATCAATTTAGCTTATTACTGAGTTGACAAGATTTTTTTTATTACAAACTAAAATAAATTTGACTTGTTTAATTAGCGGATTAAACCAATTTAAGATGAGTTTGTAATGAGTATATTAAGATAATTAAAGCTGTCTATAAAGTAACTATATAGAAAAATTGATTTAATACTATGTTATAAAAGAAAACTTGTAAATATTTTAAAATAATACAAAGAAAAGAAAAGAAAATTATATTAATATAATTTTTTATAAATGTTATATAGTTAATAATTTTATAAAAAAGTAACCTTTAAATTAAATAATTTTATATTATTATAAGCTTATTATCAAATAATTAATATATTAGAAAATATATACTAGATAAATATATATATATATATATATATATATATATATATATATATATATATATAACAAAGATATACATAAATAGATAAGTAAAGTATGAAATAAAGTGAATATCCTTACGAGAGCTAAAAATACAAAGAGAAAAAGAAGACAAGTAATCTAATTGCATGAGAAAAGTACAAGTTTTAAATTTATCTAATAAGGAAAGAAAAATGAGATGTTTTTTTAATAAATAAAAAAATAAAAAACCACATTCATTAGCATTATTAAATTCAAGGTTACGTGGAGCAAGATTATTGGTCCACGCGTATGATGTTTATTTGGTGTCTTCTCTTGACCCGACCTGTGTGGGAAGCACATGGCATTAGGATGCCTTGCAGGGACGAAAGCTAGGACTAGGACCCTACCACCAAAGACACCCCCTTGCCATGCCCACCACGCAATCTCTCCTTTTTTATTCTTTTTCACCTTCATCTGCCTCTCATAATCATATTTCCACATGACCCAACCTGATTATAGTTGGTTGCATTAATACAATTTGAATTTTAGCCCGTGCACCATCCATGATCATGGCCCCCAATTTTCGGTTTCAAACTAACAATTGTGTCGCCATTTTCAAAAGAGAACAATGCATGTTCAAGATCAATGACATACATGCATGGACCCCTTTCCCCCTACAAGGGGTCATTACTAAATACTAATGACGTAATAAAGGACATGTATTTTAAGGTCATTGCTAGGTTTCATTTTTGTGTCTTATTTTAGCATGGAACAAACACTCTTTGGTTACACGTGTTTGTATAATGTAGTAAGCTACGAATTGTTGAGTTCATGACTGTTGGTGTTGCAGTGGAGAGTTTATAAAATGGCAGTAAGATATTCATGTTGGTGAAGCGAGATTTCCACCAACCCCATGACAAAGTGGAGCTTTTTCGGTTTAACTTGAGCTTTACTTGGAATTCACTCGTTTGTGCGAGATCCAAAATGATTTCCCTCCTTTCCATGTGACCTGTTTGGTATATTTTGACAAAAAATGAGAAGGTTCCCACCAGTCCTAGTGATGAATAATCACACCACCACAAAGAAGACAAACACGAAGCTGGTCATAGATCCTCAATCATCTTTTCAATCTTTGGAGCATCCGATGCTGCTAATTTGCTTTTCCCATTCCCAACTTATTTTGTCAAAAGTTAAATGCTATCGTTTTATCTATCTATATATTTATTTATTCAATTTTTTTTTTTACATGAATACCAATTCTACGAATTCACCACACTTAATTAAGACTTGTAGAATCAGAAGCAAATTGTAATTAGTTATTAAAAGTGAGGTTGGGTGCGTAGGAATAGATAAGGACTTGAGAAGGTGAAGTGAAATGTGTGTTGATAAAAAATGTGCGAAGGAAGGGAGAGCATGAAGGTCCATGGCATTGGTAACAGTAACAGTGGTAGTGGTTTTGTGGGTGCGGCTCGAGAGAGAGAGGAAAGGAAAGAAAAAGGTCATAGAATGTGAGGCACGTTACAATGAAAGTGAATTGGGAGCGGTGTCTATGGAGCGATGATTACGGGGACTATAGAAGAAAGAAAGGACCCGCCCCACACGTTGGATTCTGAATCCCACCTTGTGTCGTTTTCTTCATACAATCCACTGGCTACCACTTTTCATCGTTCACTGTGACGGATAGAAGGAGTTGTTAACTTGCTACTTGCTACTTGCTAACTGTGCAATTTGCATTCCAACCCTCACAACTCACACCCCACTCCCCTCATATAATAATCAATAAAACTCCTTTAACTTTTTTACCTTGAGAAAATTCCAGTTTGGGTTTGAGGGTCATGCTCCTTTACCATGATAATTATTTGAAGGAGTCTTGGTGCGAAACAAGGAAAAAATAAGCAAAAGATAATGCTACTAAAAGAGAAAAAGGAAAATGGAAAGTGTTCTCTTATCACTCGCCTGCTAAGAGCGTTGGTATGGAGAGTGGAGCCCACGCGTAATTGAGTTTGTCTGAATATAGTTGGAGGGTGATCTATACGTGTTCAACAACAGAGTGTAGCTGGAAAATTTGTGTTATATATATGTATATTTAAAATAAGGAAAAGTTAGCATTCATTTAATAATGATAGAAAAGGTAAAAGGAAATTCCAAAAATTACCCCTACAGTCGAAGATGTCACTAGTGAGTGACTTCCCTGGTCCATAAGTAGTCCGTCCACCCTTTCTCACGGACCAATCGCCTCTCATCTCCTTTTCAACTTCCAGAGTGAAAGGAAAAGGAAAATGGCAAAAACTTTGCTCTGCATTGTCTTCACTATCTCCATAACATGGATGGTCGAAGCTCGAATTCCAGGGATTTACTCTGGCGGTGCATGGGAAAGTGCTCACGCCACCTTCTACGGAGGATCCGATGCTTCCGGCACCATGGGTTAGTAACTACACTCTCTCAACAGCAACCTATTACTATGAAAATGTAGCATGCATTACTTAACCTCACTCACATTCTTGTGCTGTGTATAGGGGGAGCGTGTGGGTATGGGAACCTGTACAGTCAAGGGTACGGTGTGAACACGGCGGCATTGAGCACGGCGCTTTTCAACAACGGCCTTAGCTGCGGCGCCTGCTTTGAGATAAAGTGCGCGAACGACAAACAGTGGTGTCATTCCGGAAGTCCTTCCATCTTCATCACCGCAACAAACTTTTGCCCTCCCAACTACGCTCTTCCTAACGACAATGGCGGCTGGTGCAACCCTCCTCGTCCTCACTTCGACCTCGCCATGCCCATGTTCCTCAAAATTGCCGAATACCGCGCAGGAATTGTCCCTGTTGCCTTTCGCCGGTTCGTCACCCATCACATTCAAATGCTCATTTATGGATTTTTTTTTTATTTGTTGGTTTTAGGTTTTAAAGTACGGTTGTTGACTTATTGTTAACGAAAACTGTTGAGTCTCTCGTCTGGTCACAGTGAAAGGAAAAGAAAGGAAGCTAGGTGTTTGTTAACTTTACCCCAACAATTCCCTAGGAAGTTATCATTATCAGTTAGTCCATTTCCAAAATGGTTCATAGGTTAAGTCAATGTGACCGTGATTTGTTTATGTAACATTGTGCTTTTCACAGATTTCGGCATGGGTTGTGTCTGGTTCAGTGGAAGATGTGGGGTAGGGTTCTTCATTAGTCTTTCTGCCACTAATTTTGGGGTTTCTTTCACTTAACCAATGTAGGGGTGTTCCTTATTTTCATCCTTCCTTCCCTGTCCTTTTCTATTCATTTTACTTTCTAGTCACTTTCGGTGGTGTTATTGCAACGCACCAATTTTTTTTATTACCTTATTTATGTCCATACCTATTTCATATACCCACATTACATAACCTTACTATAATAAAGTAGAATCTTTATTAAGAGTGTAGTTAGATAAGATAATAATGAGTGGATTGGTTGGTATTTACGCAGGGTGCCATGTAGAAAGCACGGAGGGATAAGGTTCACCATCAACGGATTCCGTTACTTTAACCTCGTGCTGATTAGCAACGTGGCGGGTGCGGGTGATATCGTGCGCACTTACGTGAAGGGGTCCCGAACCGGGTGGATGCCAATGAGCCGGAACTGGGGCCAGAACTGGCAGTCAAACGCGGTTTTGGTGGGGCAGGCGCTGTCGTTTCGCGTCACGGGCAGCGACCGCCGCACCTCCACCTCCTGGAACATCGCCCCACCCAATTGGCAATTCGGTCAAACTTTCACCGGAAAAAATTTCAGAGTCTGAAACAAACCCTAATGTCATCATCATCATCAATGACATACTAAATATATATTTTTTATTATAATCTTTTTTAGATGGTTTTAACTGGAATGATGTGACATGACATGGAAAGTGGAAATAGTGAGTGACAACTTTTTAATTGTGAGTAGATGGTGGTTTTACTTTGTACTGGGTGGGTTTGATGATTATAAACTAGGGTTGGTGATGTTGTATTTTGAGAGAGAGTGTAGGGATTGCTGAAGTGGCTTAATCAAAATAGTAGCCCGCAGCTAGTTTGTATTTTCATTATAGAATGAATCATCGTCATGCTGTTATATATCATTAATATTTTAGTTTAATTTCTTGAAATCGAGTAGAAAAAAGAAAAAATTGTATTTAATGTATGAACATTTTTTAATACCGTAACCATCACAACAACCTCTCTTGGAAATTAATAAATGAAAGGTTTGAATTGATAAATTGAAGCAGGTAGGGTTAAATTTATTGAATAATGACTTTACCTTTATGACCTCAAAACAAAAAAGCTTCTTAAAGCGAACATAGAGCGAAATTGTTAAGGTAGGGGTCAATGTTTTGGGTATGAATTTGAATCAAAGGACGCATGTGCCCCACACCTCTGCCTATTTGTAATAATGATGTCATAATGTTAACTCTTTTAGCTGAAATATTCGTACTTTAAAAAAAAATTCTTCATTTCCATAAGTCATTTCACTTGTTTTTTTTAATTTATTTAATTAATCTATAAACATGTTTGATTTAAATATGCTTATTTAGTAAATGAACTTATTTCATACTCTTTAGATACCATTTAAAGTGATGTTTAAATTTATAACTTTTTTTTCTAATTTACGTTCACTACTTCAATAAAATGTATTATTTATTGTGTATTAATATTACATTATTGATAAAGTAAATAAATTACTTTTTTCTAACACAGAATAAAAAAATTCATGGATTTCAAACCCAATGATGGATAATAAATATTTTAAAATGTAATCCAATTCAAGAAAAGTTTATATATATATATATATATATATATATATATATATATATAACGGCGAAGGGCTTTGCGTACAAGACTGGACTGAAAAAAAAATGCGAAGGGATGTACGTTCAATTATGAAAAGCCCAATAACATTTTGAACAAAAATATAGAAAAAGGCCCATAATGTTTACACTCCTTTTATATTTTCTCATTTTTAAAAATATTTTTTTTAAATACCCTCCACAGAAATGACTTTCCATGGTGCACCTTGACAAAATAAGAACAATTTTTCCTTATATATATATATATATATATTTATTTATTTATTTGTGACAATACCTAATGAAACATGTTTTGATTAAATATTTTGAAAAAGAAAAAGCAATAAAAATTATTTTTCTTCAAGGGTATTTCTGTAAAACGATGTTAGTTACTGACAGGAGATGATAATTGAAAATCTAAATTACAAAATATATTTTACTATTTAATTTTGAATAGTTAAAAAAATCTATATTTTGAAACTGTTTTATGAAATCATTACAAAACAAAATTTGAAATTTAAAAAAATTTAAAACCAATAACTATTCGTAAAAACAGCAAATAAATATGGAAATTTAAGATAAGAAGCATTAGTTTTGTTTGAAAGGAGTTTTACTGAGGGGGAAAAAACGACAGAACCTTGCATGCGTGATTATGAATTACCATGAGTGTGTGATAGGTAGATTTATGATTAAGGAATATGAATGAAGAGGAAGCAGCAGTAGACTTGAAGTTTAAGTTATGTCCATCATCACTACTAATCACAACCCTTAATTACGTTCCTTTTTTATATAATTAACTTGTGTCCGTCCATGATGAAGCCAAATAATAACTCATGCGATTGGATAGTAACTTGGGTTGTTTCAGTGAATAATTGCATTTTGAGAATAATTCATTCAATATGATACTCTAACTTTAGATATAATTATTCAAAAGAATATCTACAATATATTCCATAAAAATATCCAGTACAACACGTTGTTAGACTTTTATTTGCTCTCTTCCATGGCGGCTTCTGTTTTTATATCACTTTTGAGACCACGTGAGTCTTGCAGTTTTCTATCTTCCATTTGAAAGGTCAATATACATTAATTGTATTTCTTTTTTCTTTTTTTACAAAGTCTTATTTATCTACTATCATTTTATAATTAAAATTATATATAATTTATATATATTCATATTAAATATTTTTTAAAATTATAATCATGATAAATTATAATCTAAAGCAAATAATTTTAACTAATTAATCATCGATTCTAACTCTAATATCGTTATAAATATCACGGCAGAGTCGAAATTAAAATATTCATATTTTTTTCTAACTTTTAGTCTTTCATTAGAGAAGATGTTCTAATATATTTATGGATCTAGATTAATTAAGAAACATTTATTAATTGATTTATGTATATTTTATAAATAAAATTATGATAAATTAGAATAAGATAAGAATAGGAATAAATAGAATAGAAGAGAGTCTCTTGGAACATGGCATCCCAAATTGCAAAAATTTTTAAAAACTAAATAATAATTTATTGTTTTAAAAAATTTATAAAATATTTCAATATCAATTCTTTCAATTGCGTCTTTAACCAAAACTTCGGTACATCTTTATTAATGATTTTGAAATAAAATAATATATTATTGATAAATAATAAATAAATATAAAATAATAAAAAAGAAATTTATAAACATATATATTTAATAATGATTTGAGTAATTAAAATTATAAATCTATATAAAAAAACTTTATGGCCATCCCTTCCTATCTCCTCCAAAAAAAGCTATATTTAATAATATTTTGATTACGGGGAACACTCTTGATGACGGAGTTATCATAAGTTTAATTTTCTCTAGTTTTTCAAATGATTTTGAATGTTATTTTTGAAGTAAAAAATATTGAAGAAGTAGTTCTGAATTTTGGTATTGGAAGAAAGAACGGCGTAATTTGAAGGGATTTAACAGATAAACGTGAAGGAAAAGCAAAATGTGTGTAAAATTTCGCAGCGGATGCATGATATGGGCCCCATAAGAGTATCCTGTGAAAGTCGTGATCATTTCTCATCGGACGGCTCCTCCCAGTAGCAGCCACGGTCACCACAAAATTAAGACTCTCGTGTCCATGTTCAGGAAACATTACTATTATTCATTAAAGGAGAAAATAGATAATAAATATACTAATACTCTAGTATTATTATTATTATTATAGTAATTATTGTTACTCTATGGCATAATTTATTATTTTATATAAAGTAACACTAAAGACATGGATTCTTAGTCCATAAGAAAACAAAGAAATCAAACAAACAAATTACTTGTAATATACTTTCCTTTTCTTATCGTTTCATTTTCTTTCTCATTCTACCACAAAGCAAATCGCCTCCTTCCGCTCTCATTAGTATATATATAATTGTTTGTATAGTTTATCATTCTTATAATTAAGTGGAACGAAAATGATTAACAACTACATGTAAAAAAATCTCAAGTAAATATACGATTATAGATAATTATAATTTTTATTGAGTTATATATTTTATAATTTCTAATATAATATTTTAATCAACGGTAGATATATTGGGATATTAAAAATTAAAAATTTTGGACTAAATTATTTATTATTTGATTAATATTGGATTATTCATTTTTATATTTACTAGGAGTATGATAAAAAAAAATTTGAAAGAAATGTAATGAAAAGAATATATTAAAAAATATATGATAATATTATAATATATAAATATTATAATATTTACATTAATGATTTAATTTGTATTTAAAAAAATATACTGAGAAATTTTATAAGATTAAACTAAATAACAATGACTGATAAACCAAATTTTTTTCTCTTTTTGAAATGCATTTCACCTAATAAAGAAGTTGCTCATTTTCTATAATCATAAAATTTTTATTATCATATTTATTTTTATAATTTTATATATTTTTTTAATTTAGAATATAATCTTTTTATAATATATATATTTTTAAGATTTAAAATAGGAAATTAAAGAATTATAATATATAAATAACTACCATCTTATTTTATTAACTCAATTTTGTAAAATTAAATTAAATAATTTAATTTTGTATTATCGTATCTGAGTTTACTATTTCTAATACTTAATTGATCTATGTAACTTTTTCCATAGTTGATAAATCATAAAATAATAAAACATTTCATTTTCTTTAAAGACCATATTACCTCATATTTTTCTATCATCATATTTGATGTACAAAGTTTGTATTACTTTTTAATATAAACATTTATTATTCTCAATCCACTAAAGTTGACTTCACCGAACAAATTGACCGCTTGAATAATATGTATATTGTCATAATTCTAATATGATTACTACAAAAAAACACATTTTTATTAATTTTGTAAATGATTAGTATTTTTTTACAGAATTTTCTTGGCTTTCTTTAGTAAATTATTTATTTTTAAATATAATATTTTTTACTTATAAAACTTGAGATTTTTAAACATTATATAGTTACTTTTTATTTCAATCTAATGAAAAGTTTCAGTTTTTTCTTTTTAAACATTTCTGTTACTCACTGAATTGAATATTTTTTCAGTTTTTAAAATTAATTCATTAAGTATGACAATAAAAATAGCTATGTATATTTATACGATCCAATTAGTGTAATAAATTAAGTAAAGTTTGATGACAGAGAAAGAGAGAGAAAAAATATTTTATTTTATCCGTTCTATTGTTATTCTTCGTTTTCATCTTTCTCTTCCTCGTTCAAAGTACGAGAAAATGAAACGTTGAAACGGAAGAGAGTAGGAATTGGAATGATTTTGGGTTTGTTCGGTGGTTTTCGCAAATGAAGTGCTTCTACTTCTCCAATGCAGAAGACGAAGATTGCGTGGCAGCGGCACCGAGTTCGCGCGGTTCCACTTCGCGCGTGTCGTGGGCGCGTTCGCTCAGTCTCATGGACACGCGCAGTCGCTCCAACTTCGACTCCGACTCCACGGAATTCTCCGACACCGTGGACTTTCACCACTTCCTGGTCCAGCGCCGTGCCAACGACCTCCGCCTCTTCCCCTTCTCCGCGCTGAAGTGCGCCACGCGCGGGTTCAGCCGCACTCTCCTCGTCGGCGAGGGGGGGTTTGGGTCTGTGTACCGTGGCGTGGTGGAGGAAAAGGAGGTGGCGATCAAGCAGCTGAACCGAAACGGGCAGCAGGGGCACAAGGAGTGGATCAACGAGGTGAATTTGTTGGGAGTGGTGAAGCACCCTAATCTGGTGCGGTTGGTAGGGTACTGTGCCGAGGACGATGAAAGAGGGATTCAGAGGCTTCTGGTTTACGAGTTTATGCCGAATAAGAGCTTGGAGGAGCATCTATTGGTGCGAGTCCCTTCCACGGTTCTGCCTTGGGGGACCAGGTTGAGAATTGCGCAAGATGCGGCTCGCGGTTTGGCCTATCTTCATGAAGAAATGGATTTTCAGGTACTGTATGTGGCGTGATGGATTGTGACTTTTCGACTTTGCCTCGTCGTGTCGTCCGTCATTTATGTGATTTTCTTTCAAAACGAACATGTGGGTCTCTTTTGTTAAATTGAAAAAATTGGGTACTTGATTTTGGATTGTGTTTATTGATTTTACTGAATTCATTCTTTTAGGATAACAGTGAAGTTGTTTATGTGTGGCGGATGTATGGATATATTTTTAATGGGATATGATAATTGGTAGAAAATATATGTCATGGATTGTTGAAGCGAATGCACGTTGCTTCAGACCAATGGTTTTAGTTTTGGTGTGGAATCAAGTTTGAGAGATGGTTTTAGATGTGGAATGTAACATGAACGAAATTAGGATGATTAGTTGGGCAGATTTGCATTTGGGTGTAACAAATGTACAACCAAACTCGGCAGGAAATCGTTGATCTGGATTCGGCAACTAATGTCTTTTTAAATGTGAAATTTTTGTTAGTAAAGCAAATGTTGAGAATTGAATTTTTTTTTTTTTTTTAATTTTTTTTTTCTGTTTAGGATTTACGGTGAAGTAGAAATATAGAAGAGTTGTGAAGATTGAAGAACTTTGTGACTTAGACATTCCTCTTTGGCTTTTTTAGGGTCAATAATGGTTTACAAAAATAGGTCCCATCCCATCAGATTTTGGCACGACTTAATTATTTTTAATGTTTGTGGATGGTTTGTAGTGTGGATAGATATCTTTTACTGCATTTCATATTTGCTAAAAACCATAGGGAACTTTTGTTGAAACACACTATTGATGATTGCTACTATTACTGGTGCAGCTAATATTTCGGGATTTTAAGACGTCCAACATCCTGCTGGATGAGAATTTCAATGCAAAGCTTTCTGATTTTGGACTGGCTAGGCAAGGACCTTCAGAAGGGTCTGGCTATGTTTCAACAGCAGTAAGAGTTTGTCTGTACCCTGGGGAAAATTCATCATATTCTACAACTATACACATTGTTTGGAAACTTAAAAATTTGCATTGTAAAATCAGATCAACGTGTCTTCTGGCATATTTTGAGCAAATTAAACTATATTTTGCCATTTTCAATGTGAACAAGTCTAATTTATGAAAAGCAACAATTATGATCTGAAGTCTGAATCTTTGTTTTTGATCGTGATATTTTGCTGTTATGCTAAATTAATGACTTAAACTTTTTCTTTGCAAAGGTTGTTGGCACCATAGGTTATGCTGCACCAGAGTATGTTCAGACTGGTAAGCTAACTGCTAAGAGTGATGTTTGGAGCTTTGGTGTAGTTCTTTTTGAGCTTATCACCGGGAGGAGAGCTGTAGAGAGAAACCTTCCTAAAAGCGAACAAAAGCTTTTGGAGTGGGTTAGACCCTATGTTTCTGATCATAGGAAGTTGCATCATATTGTAGACCCCCGACTTGAGGGACAATACTGCATCAAATCAGCTCAGAAACTTGCAATCCTAGCAAACAAGTGCCTCATGAAACAGCCAAAGTGTCGCCCAAAAATGAGTGAGGTGGTCGATTCCCTTGGAAGCATTATTATAGAGACAGTTACTGAAGAAGAATGCTTCCCCCAAGGTGCTGTAGCCACTGGAGAAGAAAAAGAAGAGAAGGTGTCTGTAGAGGAAATTGAACCTGAACCAGCTAAACAAGGGAACAATTACCTGAAGAAGGTTTTTGAATTCAAAGACATTGTCAGCTTAAGAAACAAGTCTATTGGAAGGTTGGATTGGAAAAGTTGGGCGCCTGGGCTAGTAAGAAGTTGGTGACAAGTCACCTGCTAATCGCAATGTTTGTTGATCACATAGTTTTCAGTCAGTGAAATCGACATTGTCAGACACACAGTTAACATGCGGTACATACCCAATTTTGTATCAATTAATAATGTTATGTACAGGTTAATTTTGAGGAAAGCTATAATTTATAATGATTTTGCCATCTCAAAACTAACAACGAATTTAGTCATGCAAATTAATATTTGGGCAATAACTGGAATTAAATGTTTCATCTATACTCCTTTGAGCCTACCAACTTGCATCTTATCATGTTTTTCTTTATTAAAAAATGCTGCTGTAAATGTTTTATTAATAAATTAAGTTGCTATTATAAGAAAAAATTTCTTATATTTAATTTTTATCTGTTAAATGTAATAATATTTCAATTAATAAAAAATATTAATTTCCTCATTTATATCAAGATTATTTGTAATATTTTTATTTTTTTATATTTTTTGTATTGTATATATAACTTCTCTCTTTTTATGAGGGTATAAAATTTTGTTTACAGATGAACTAGTTTTAATCTATAAAAAAGTTATTTTATTTTATTTTATTTTTTTAAAACATACGATAAGATCCACTTTAAATACTTGTCGTTTTTAAAATAACAGGTAAATAGATTTTCTTCCAATAATGACAAATAATTTTCGTCTGGTAAAAGGAAAATATGGTTGTATACATGTACCTATTAATAAGATTTATTTGGTTAATAATTTTTTTCGTCTGTTTGTTTTCCAATTTTCAAAATAAGAAGTTCGCACGCAAAATGTTTGAATGAAATAAATTTACATTCAATGAAAACTTCAAAATAGAAGTTTGCATACACGAGTTAAGAGTGTACTGTAATAAATTATATGTAATTGATGAAAGTGTTAATTTATTAGGTTCTTTTTAAGCAGTATCTTGAGGTTAGCATTTGCCACCTTTTTTATTGTTAAAAAATAGAGACAATTTTGTACGTACACAACTTGAGAGAATGGAAAATACATATTCACATTAGTTTGAACAAAATAAACCTATTATGCACTTAACTCAATTTCATTTATCACCACTTTGGCTTTACGGTGGTACCAAGAAAATCATGAAGTCGAATACAGAGTTGAATGAATCCCCCCAGAGCGTGTCCAATACTCATTTAATTGATCGTGAATCTTGCATAAAGTCGCTCTTCATTGTGTCACATGACAAAAGGTCCCAGTGACTTCAAATTGAATGCAAAAAATCTTCCACTATTCCCACTTGTCTTGTGATAGTTTCAATTAAACAACAAGAAGTCCTTGGAAACCCCGAAAAGAACATTGAAAATTATGGTAAAGGTCCCAACTTAGCATTATATTTAGTACTAGAGGATAATCTATAAACAAACACATGTGACTTTTTCTCAATGGACCCATTGTTTTCCAACTTGCAGTAATCCGCGTTGTAATTAGCTGCCATGTTTATGGTTCTCAAGATACTTCTATTTGACACTTCTTAGTGAGCTTTTCTTGAGGAACCACATGCTTTATGGTTCCAATTCATACTGCAAAACAAAATCTACCCTGCATCCTTTCACCATGATGGAAAATAAAATATCATTCCAGGATATTGATTCATATCACACGTGAAACTGCACATTGCAGTAAGTGTAAAAAATAGAGAAGGAACATTGCTCACCAATATTGAAAGAGCTAGACAAGAAAGTATCTGCAGTTCCAGATATTTTGACTAATATTACAAACTGAACCTAGAATATATACATGCAATAATACTAAGTTATGTAAAGGCAATTGCATTAACATGTGTGATATGTGGTAACATGCAACTTTCAAGGACGTGTATTTGCAATGTCACGTGAGAGAGGGGAAACTAAAGCTGTAGCGATTCTACCATGGGTAAAATCATCAGCACTTTTTCTACGACCACGAGAGGTATTCAGAGAACGATTATGATGTACATGGGGAACCTGCAGCTGCTCCAAATCTTTGACAACCTCGTCCATCGTTGGTCTCAACTTGGATTCTGTTGCGAGGCATCGCAGAGCTAGAGTAGCTACCTTCAAAGCATCATCTACATCATATTGGCCTTCAAGACGGTTATCCAACACACGCAAAATCTTTCTCTTGTTTGCTAAGTATGGCTTTGCCCACTCCACCAAATTGTGCTGTCCTGATGGTCTGTTCTTGTCCACAGCCCTCCTGCCAGATAACAGTTCTAGCAGCACAACTCCAAAACTGAAGACATCACTCTTTGCGCTCACATGACCTTCACCAAAATCATATTTAAAATGACAAGTTTCTAAGTGTAGATTGTTAGGATCAGAGTACCAGCATAAATACACACAACTAAAATAGAGACGAGAAAAATAACCCTGACAATAGGCAAAAATGAAAATTTTATAATGACCACTCTTTCCTTTTACAATTGGAAATTACCAATACTAGGAAAGTAAAAGAGAAAGAAGGAGAAATATTTGGGATGTTTGAAATAAGGGGGGAGGGGCTCCTTTTATAGGAAGGAGGAGAGCCCCCAATTGAAGTTCCCACGGATGTGGGACTTCTTTCTTCACAATCTCCCACTTGAAGATTTTGATGAAATTAATCAAATCTTCACACTATGTCTTCTTTTCTCACATCCATGTTGCTTATGCTTCCGATAGGCCATAGAGGGATCGACTCCATATAAACTTGTCAGCATTAACCGGCTTTGTCATTACATCTGCTAGGTTCTTCTCAGTGTGGATCTTCTGTAAATCTACACTTCCTTCTTCTACTACTTCTCGAACAAAATGATATCTTATTCCTATGTGTTTTGTCCTCGAATGAAAGGCTGGATTTCTTGCAATGTGTAAGGCACTTTGACTATCACAGTACACAACAATTTGTTGTTGCTTGTGACCAAGTTCCCCCATTATTCTTTTAATCCAGATAGCTTCTTTACATGCTTGGGTGACAGCCATGTATTCAGCTTCCGTAGTAGACAGAGCTACCACATCTTGTAACTTGGATAACCAACTTACTGCCCCTCCATTGATGGTAAACACATAACCAGTAGTAGACTTCCTTTTATCCAGATCACCTGCAAAATCCGAATCTACATAGCCTCTGACAACTGCTTCTGATCCTCCATAACATAATGCAACATTTGAGGTTCCTTTTATATACCTAAGGACCCTCTTCACATTTTGCCAATGTTCTCCACCAGGATTCCCCATGAATCTACTAACCACTCCCACTGCTTGTGCAATGTCCGGTCTTGTACAAATCATGGCATACATAAGACTTCCCACTGCTCGATGCATACGGTACTCGAGACATTTCGATCCTCTCCGCTTCACTCGCTAGGACTCATACTTGAGGATAACTTACAGTTGACAGGAAGTGGGGTAGAAATTGGCTTGCAATCTTGCATGTTGAAGCGCGCAAGATCTTAAGTAAATAATTCTTTTGAGAAAGCCAAATCTTCCTATCTTTTACTGTCTCGGTGAATTTGCATCCCTAAAATCTTGTTTGCTGGTCCCAAGTCCTTCATATCAAACTCCCTAGCCAATTGTGCCTTCAATTCTTGGATTCGAGCTTTGTTAGGGCCTACCACCAACATGTCATCCACATACAACAACGAATATGATGAAATCATTTTCTTCAAACCTATTGTGGTAAGTACAATGGTCAGAACTTAGTCCGTAGTATCCGAGGCTAATAATGAAGGAATCAAATCTCTTATACCAACACCTTGGCGCCTGCTTTAGACCGTATAGAGATTTGTTCAACCTGCAAACCAAGTTTTCTTGCTCTTTGAAGCCTTCTGGTTGGAGCATATATATTTCCTCTTCAAGTTCTCCATGAAGAAAAGCGGTTTTACATCCAATTGCTCAAGATGTAAATCAAATGCAAGCACACATCGCCAGGACAATTCTGATTGTTGTCAATCTAACAACTGGTGAGAATATCTCGTTGAAATCAATGCCTTCTTTACGAGCATATCCTTTTACCACCGGTCTAGCACGATATCTTTCTACTTGATCATTGGCATCTCTCTTGATCTTATAGACCCATTTGCAACCAATGGCTCTGCGACCTTTTTGAAGTTCCACAAGATGCCATGTCTTGTTTTTATGAAGAGCTTCAATTTCTTCTTCCATAGCGGCCATCCATAGAGGAGCTTCGAACCACTCACGGCCTCTTGAAAAGTTGAAGGTTCTCCTTCTTCACTTAGGAGACAATACGCATCATGACTTGCCATCACATATTGTGAATGCCAAGATGGTCCGACTCTTTCTCTTGTTGATCGTCGAGTTCTCCTTCTTCCACCTCATTTGGCTCATGTTCTTCATGCTCCTCCTCTAACTCGGAGGAATGTTCGAAGTCTTCTTCTCTATCTGTACTATAGTCTTGTCCTTTTCCGAGTTGTCATTTATCTCGCTTGCTTGCAGTTCATTTTCTGCAAAGACGACATCTCTGCTAACAATAACTTTGTGGGCAGTGGGATCCCACAAGCGATACCCCTTCACATTGTCGGCATATCCCAAGAAGATGCATTTCCTGGATTTTGGATCCAACTTCGTCCTTTCTTGGGTGTTGTACATCACGTACGCGGACAACCAAACACATGTAAGGAAGAATAATCGGTTGATTTTCCACTCCACATTTCCATAGGAGTTTTCAACCCAATTGTTGTTGATGGAGACCGATTTATCAAGTAACAGGCAGTATTCACGGCTTCGCCGAGAAAGACTTTGTTATGCTCGCAGTTTGCGAGCATAGCTCTGGTTCTCTCTAGAAGAGTTCTATTCATCCGCTCTGCTACACCATTCTGCTGAGGCGTGTGTGGAACGGAAAATTGTCTCACAATTCCTTCTTGCTTGCGGAATGCTAGAAAATCTCCATCTACATATTCTCCTCCATTGTTCGTCCTCAAACACTTGATTCTCCTTCCGGTCTCAAGTTCTACTTGTGCTTTGAAGTCTTTGAACCGCGCAAATACTTCGGACTTCTTCTTGATAGGGTATACCCATAATCTCCTCGAGTAGTCATCGATGAACGACACAAAATATTTTGCTCCTCCGAGAGATAATTCAGGTGATTCCCGGACATCGGAATGGATCAAGTCCAAAGTTTGCTTACTCCTTGTGGTGGTTCTTGCAAACTTCAACTTGTGTTGTTTGCTTGTCACACAATGCTCACGAAGGGTAAATCGACTTTCTTGAGCCCGGGTATGAGATCACGTTCCGCAAGAATCTGCAGACCTCGCTCCGACATATGTCCAAGTCTACGGTGCCACGTTATCGCCGCTTCTTCTTGGCTTGTCGACGCAGTTGTTGCATGATTTTCTTGCAAGGTGTCTCCCATAAGCACATACAAGTTTGCCATGATTTTCTCTCGCTTTCATGACAACTATGTTTCCCCTCACTACCTTTAAGATTCCTCCTTCAACATGGATCTTGCAGTCGAGGTCATCCAATTGCCCTATAGACAATATATTTTTCTTCAAGTCCTTCACATGTCGTACTTCTTGGATTGTGCGAATAGTACCAGTCATACATTTTTAATTTGACAAGTACCAACTCCAGCAATCTCCAATGCATGGTCATTTCCCATGAACACGGATCCACCCGAGATAGGCTTGTAGGTTTGAAACAAATCTCGGTGTGGGGTCATATGCCAAGTTGCACCTGAATCCATTATCCACTTGTCATGAAATTCGTTTCCGCCATTAGAGTCGATTCGTCGCTTCGCTACTGCAATTACTCCTTCCTCCGAAGTACTCGCAATGCAACCTTGTGAGGTTGATTCTTCATTCTTCCTCTTCCAACACTCTTTCTTCGTGTGCCCTTTCTTGCCACGAGTAGTAGCATTTAAATTTGAAAGTCTTCTTGTTTCGAGAGCTAGATCTGCCATGATCTTGACTCCCACTTGAGCCACGTTCAGCTGATCTTCCTCTCATCATCGTCAAAACTTACGCTTGTTTAGAACTTTCTACCTTATTCATTCGCCTGGATTCTTCTTCTAGAATAGCTCCGACAACATCGTCAAAGTGTAGTTGTCCTTCAATATTATTATTTGTAATGTTGATGATGAGTTGATCATACGAGTCCGGCAAGCTCGAAGTAAGAGCTCGCACGCTCATTCTCAACTATGTTGAAATTTCGTCGCTGCTAATTGGGTAAACAAGGTGTTCAGTTGGTTGATGTGGTCCGTCACCGATGTGGACTCACTCATCCGAAGAGTATAGAGTTTCCTCTTCGGGAATATCCTTGTGTGAAGTGACTTCATCTCATATAATTTAATGAGGGCATCCCAAATCTCCTTTGCAGAATCTTTCTCCGCAACACTCGGATAGAACCGAGTCTCGCCATTGCCAAGTGTAAATTTGCAATAGCGTTGCAGTCAATTTTCTTCCAATCTTTATCCGTCATTTCTGCAGGTTTTCCCTCAATTGCTTCTGCGCAATTGTCCTTTCTCAAGATTGCCTTCATCTTCAATTTCCACAACGAGAAATTGTTCCAGTTGAACTTCTCTATCTCGTACTTTCGTCGCCATGGTTGTATACGGACTTATGCAACTATCACTTATAAATAGTATTGTCTACCGAACAATAGTAGTAAACCGTGAACCAAGTACACCAAGTAGGTTCCCGGGAAAGAGAGGTGGGTCACTAATGGACACGCTTAAGTACCAAGTCTTTCCTAGCGTAACTTTCCTCAATAGTACTTTCACACTACCACACCTTTTCCAGTAACAACTCCTTTCTGATGTGGAAGATCAGATTAAACTGCAACCACAGAGCATACTTAGAATTTTACCAACACTATTCTAGTGACGCGCAACGGAACTCAAACGCAGCTCTGATACCACTGTTAGGATCAGAGTACCAGCATAAATACACACAACTAAAATAGAGACGAGAAAAATAACCCTGACAATAGGCAAAAATGAAAATTTTATAATGACCACTCTTTCCTTTTACAATTGGAAATTACCAATACTAGGAAAGTAAAAGAGAAAGAAGGAGAAATATTTGGGATGTTTGAAATAAGGGGGGAGGGGCTCCTTTTATAGGAAGGAGGAGAGCCCCCAATTGAAGTTCCCACGGATGTGGGACTTCTTTCTTCACATAGATAGAGACCAAAACGTGAGGTTGTCAATATAGAAACGAATAATTCTAATTTTTCTTTTCTTTAAACTTAAGATCTTGACTAAACCTGGATAGATGATATTATGTTGATTGTTGAATAAATATATGTACTCAAAATAAAAATGAATTATGAAGTTGAGGTTATCTAATCGGCATAATACTAGTTGCCTAAGTCAACTGCTGAAGTTGCCATTTCATTATGTTTTGTAATGTCAAGAACCAAATCAAGTTGTAGAGCCAACTTTGAAGAGTAAATAACTATTTCTTTAAACACACAATACCTGTGGCTAGGTATTCTGGAGCTGCATATCCGTAGGTTCCCATTACTCTGGTGGAAACATGACTTTTGTCAAGTGTAGGTGCGTCCTTTGCCAACCCCAAATCAGCAAGCTTTGCGTTATAATTCTGAAACAAATCAGCAAGGGAATCTTCAGAAATGTATCTAAATAATTTCCTTTATTTATGATACGATATCTGATAGCCATGAATGTGTAAAGGGCACATACTGAATCCAGCAATACATTCGAAGTCTTGAAATCTCGATATATCACTTTTGTTTCAGCACTGTGAAGAAATGCAAGCCCTTTGGCAGCACCGAAAGCGACTTTCAAACGCAGCCCCCAAGAAATAGGGTGAAAATATGAGCCTCCTGTTACAACAATGTTGGTGATGTTAGATACACTTCACCAGGTCAACGATGTGAGAAGATGAGACATGAAGAACTCACTCATGAACAAGTGATTCTCCAAGCTACCACGAGGCATAAATTCATAGACCAGTAGGCGGTCTCTATCTTCAAAGCAATACCCAATTAGTTTCACTAGATGAGGATGAGAAAGCTGGCCTAGATAGTTTACTTCATCCTAACATAGAAAATAAATTTAAACACTGTAAGGCGAACCCATATAAGGGTAGCACTTAAACTCCTCCTTGTTTTCCAAGTTTTAGAATAGCATTATAATTTGAGTTTAATAGACATGTAGTGTGAGCATAAATGTTCTTATATTATCAGTAAATCAGAAATCATTTTTAGTAGAAATTGATAAACTTATCATGTAGGAAAATAATTGTAACTAAATGACAGTATAAACAACTTTTACACTGCATATTGCATGTATTATATGTTCATTATTTATACCATACAAATCACAACACGGTTAATATGTAGTCTTGTTAAAAACTCGAGTTTAGTTCAGAAGAGAAACATGGATAAGATAAGGCACCTCGAGACTTGCTTCATAAGTCATACCGCGCCTTGCCTATAAGGTAAAAGTATTCTCAAACATGAATTGATATTTAAGATGTAACAGAGGCAGTGTTTGCTTCTTAATTATCGGAAGTAAATAAAAGTATTTAAAGTTTAAAGAAATAGATTAAACTCACCAACCACTCCTTGTGACCTTGGAAGCTATCCTGGCCAAGTCTTTTCACTGCAACAACAATGCCCGTGCCAGGTTTGGCAGCAGAGAGCGAGTGATCATCAATCCAGCCCTTAAAAACTGATCCAAAACCAGCCTCTCCTAGCACACTGTCCTTACGGAAATTTCTTGTAGCAGCTGTAAGTTCTGTCAAACTAAAGTTCTTTAGATTGGATGAGTGCAAGATCTCACCCTCACTCTGAAGAGTCTGAGGCACCGAAACCTCTAAGACCTTACTAATTGTGCTACTGAGATCTTCTGTAATTTTACTACTTGGACTGCTGAGATCTTTTGTATCGGCATTGTCATGCTTTGAATTTAACCCTGAGATGACATATATCGATATAATCAGAGTTCAACTTTCTTAAACCACATGGCATGTATCAAACATATGTCACATTCATTAGCTAAAAATACCGAATGTTAGACAAATTTCTTCTTATGAATCATGAGTACATTTTGAAGAAAACAGTCAACTTGCCAACGTTAAGACCGGATGGAAGAACTGAAGGAGTAGTTTCAATATATAGAACCGACATATTTGGCATCAAAGAACAATTGAAGGACTGTAGTTGACAAACCAAACCCATTAAACAATAACTAGCAAGGAAGCCAGGCTTAGTTAAAAACAACTTTGTCTGCTAAAATACTCCATGTAGTCTTCTAAAACCAAAGGGGATGATGAGAAGGAGCTGAAGTTGAGTGACATAAAAGTGACCAAAAACCAATAAACTCAGAAGCACAAGGATCTCAACTCGGTTCAAAAGCATGAAGGGTGCTAAAACAATGGGAAAAAAATTGGATTACGTACCTGCTTTAATTTTGGTGCTAAAACAAACTCCCATGGTAGAAGCAATACTAATTCCTTCAACCTTGTTGCCTGTAGATCACAACAAAGTAAGTTCATTCAAACCAGGTCCAGCAGAAACCATGATCATGAATTGTAGAGAAGGAAAAAGAAAGATGTGATAAAAAAAAAAAAAAACGGGAAAGATGAAGAATAGAAAAGGCCAAGCTGTTTGAAGAAAAGTTGAGTCAGGGGATATAGGAAGAAGGAGAAAGGAAGGAGGTAAACTACTAGGGGATGCTGGAAGAGAGAAACACAAGTTTAGTGAGATGTTAGGGAGGCATTAATATTAGTGGTTGTAATGTTCTGTGTGGTCCCTATCGTGAAAGAAACAGAGAGACCATTCAAAAGTTAAAGAACAAGTTGACCAAAATTCCTGATAAAACCTTGGAAGGATTAGTAAGGACAAAGAGATGGAGAGGTTGAAGTGACGAAGGAAGGTGGGTATGGCCATTCAAGTAGCATTGCATGACATGATGTAACGCAAGGAACTCCTTTTGGTCCAGCCTTTATTAACTAACAGTTAAACTTAACAAATAACTTCAAGAATTAAGTTAGAGATGTTAGATATTTTGTAGAGTTTAATGTTATTTATTCTTTTCTATTATCAACCAACCACAAATTATTCTTTTCATGACTTTTAAGATAATTTTTAAAGTGAACAAAGCTACAGTTTATCGAAAATTGTGATTGAAAGAATAGATATAACAGTTTTATACTGTTATTTATTATCTAACTTTAAGTTAAATGCTAGTCTTTCAAAATTCTTTCTTATGGAACACCATAACGTCACACCATTGCTCTTGCATTCATTTCTGATATATCTTAAGGGATAGAAAGTTTCCTGGTTTGGATTTTGTTTTATTTTTTAGTGTCCATAATTTGGAGGGTGTAGGGTCCTGAAGCAAGTTGGAAGCAACCTTGCTTGTTTTGTAGTATTGCATGTTCAGCAGAAATGGACCCTTTCAGCTTTTACCACTTGCTGTTTTCATGTTGACGACACTTCACGCAAGTCATGGTGAACACGCACACTTGTTCTCATCCATGTCCCATATCGATTTATCCTAATTTTATAATACCCTCGTGCCATTTGCTTACTTCGTAGTTTCTCTGTGTTCCAAACGTATAAATCAAATTTATATTATATTATTATAATAACTTATAATAAAGTTTAAATACAATTTTAGTTTTTTTTATATTATTCAATTCACAATTTTGTTATTTCTATTTTAATATTTTATAACTTTGATTCGTTTCTTAATTTTAAATATATTTTATTTTAGTTCAATTAATGAATATCATTATGATCATAATATTAATTATTATTTTAGATACACATCTTGTTTTATAAACATTTAAACTAAGATTCTTCTATACTTCTATCCTATAGAGGGACTCGAAAAACTCAACAAATTGACAACAATAATTTAAAAACTCAGAAGATATTGCATTAAAACTTAATCAGTATTATTAACAAACTAAAAAAGTCAACTGCAATAAAGTTTTAATATTTGAGAAGTATCAAAAGAGTAGAAGAAGATATATTAATAATTAATATAGGTGTTGGATATATTTGGGTCCAGTTAACTTCTGCACAACAAAGTATCAAAACATTAAGTTTTTTTCTGTCTTTTAAGATAAGAAATTGATTGAGACTTTTTACTCTAGAGCATGCAATGTCATGAATCCAAATGTGAATAATGAGAAATTTGACTTTTATGCTGAAACAAACTTTATCCCAATTTCATAATAATTTACCTTCAACAACTGCCAACTGCCATTGAGTTTTGGTGACAGCAACTTCACCTTACAAATGGTTTTCATTTTGGCCCTTTTTACAAAAAACAAATCACTAATACAACGCAAGAGATAAATTAGGTCTTATAAAATACAACAGCAACTCAGTTAGTTGTGTGTGTAATGTTTTTTCTTTTCTTCTATCCTGTGTGTTCTGTATTTGAACATATCAAATTAATATAATTAATAAAACATTAGCATACCTACAAAACCTAAAGTTGCTAGCTATCACCAATGATTCAGAAAAGATGGACGCCGACATGAGTAAAACCAGTTCTATTACTTTTTAGTTGGATATGGTACTAAAAATGTTTGAATACGATTGAGTTTAGTTCTAGGTTAAAATCGAGTTACCTCGTTGCCCCATCAACTTGTTCGGTAAAATGTACTAAAGTTTATAATTCATTTTGATTATCATGAATCACTTTATTTTATTTTATTTTTGGTAAATTAGAAATAGTGCGAATTAAAACGGGATGAACTATTTCATTTTGTCATTCAAATTTTAAATTTTAATTTTTTAAAACCAAAACAAAATATTTTACAGTTTTGAGGATTTTATTTTTTGAAAAATATTTTATAAAAATATCAAACATAATTAATCGTAATAACTTTTATGTTTTCATATTTAATTTAAATTATAACAATAAGAATAATTTTATGTTTTAATTTCAGTATATTGTAAGTTCGGTTTGATTTGAGGTTGTTTTTTACTTTGATATCGAAAATCCAATCCAAGAAAATAATATTTTGGATCAATTTTTTATTTATTTCTAGATTGAACTTTAAATCCTTAATTTTTAGACTAATAGATATGAAAACTTGGTAAATACGTGGATTAATTTTTAGGTTAATTAGATGTGAAAACTTGTTGATTTTTTTCTTCGTATAATGTTTTTATACGTTAAATAAAAAATTATACAGATTATTCATATTTTTCACAATGATGCAGTCGTATTCTCCTTTCGTACAAACAGCATAAAGAGTATTGTGTCCCAGACTACACATTACATACGAAACAATTATTATGAGTTCATTTAACTAATTTTAAGAATAAAACTGGACAGTTTTCTTCCATTTACAGCAAATGTAACAAACAAAAATACAAAATTAATCCGGCATGAACATGAAGCAAAAAAATCATAAATCCCTCTTATTCCACCAAACTATAAAACAACTTCAAATATCATAACTCTTTTTTTAATATCCAAAATTCATTTGGGCCCCATAAAAATGCTATTTTCATAGGCCCAAATACATATCAAGAAACTGATAGCACACTCAATGACAATCATAAACAGCCTGATGCTTTTAACAGAAAAACAAAACCATAATGCAGATCAGGTGTAACCTAATAAAACGTTTAACATTAAAAAAATTTGTTGGAAGCAACAACCCCCTAAATTTAGGCTTGGTTTGAAATAGGTCCTACTGAATGCACCTATTACTACTTCAAATTGCTCTTTTTACACTGCAGAATGAAGTATTTAATTCAGGAATGGACCTTATGGAAGAGAAGGTAAGTTCATAAAATGGTTAGCTAGCGATAGATCTCAATCAAACAAGTATCAGGGATTTAGATCAGTGATTGTATCACCACAAATTTATTTAGCAAGGATTGCTGTCTACCATTGCAAATTAGTATTCTCTACAGTATCTCATTTATCAAGACCAAAAACGTTAAGTAAACAAAGTGCATTCAAAACAATAAAAAATGAGCAGTTTTCCACTGAAAGAAATTGACAGACATCATCAATCTTGCGTTGCAGCTCCTTGGTTGAGCTCAGCAAACCTCATGCCAACCCGCATAGAATGCTTCAGAAATTTCTCTGCACATCTTCGAACACACGTTTCCTCTTGCTTTTGCAGGGATTTATGCTTAAATGTGTCAACACAATCAGTAAAGCATCTCTCAACCAGTGCATTATACATTCTCAGACTGCAATGAAACATAAATCTCAATCAGGATCGCCACCTCATACCAAGCAAAAATCAACTAAACAAGCAATTGCGATGTCATGAATGACAGTTTTATCCCTCATTCCAAAATTAAGTTCTTTATACATTCAAAGATTCACTTATCACAGAAAATAATGTCAAAATGTCACAATCCAAAATATTCAGGCATAATTTTAAAATGGAATAAACTATCAATTTTTGGAAAGAAATTGATATTTCGAATATGAAAATTATGGCTAGCTCTTTCAAAATATAGCCAGCCACCACAATTTTGGTGGCAATGTCAAGATTTTTTGAGTAAAATAGCAGTAATTTTCCGCAATTAACAAAACAGAGACTAATATACGGAGTTGATTTTATTAAATGGAACTTATTTGAAACCATCCAGGCCTCTTTGGCCTCTTTAAACAAATGTTGTTCCCAAAACGTCCAGAAGCAACATTCACATGTTGCGCTGGTTTCAAGGAGAACTTCACTATGGGCTTCATGGAAAGAGCACACACAGAGATTCGAAACAATAGTGCTGCCCATCACTAACAAATTAACATGAAGCCCCCAAATCTAAAAGGGATTCACCTACACACAAGCGAAATCCACGTTTAGAAAAGCGGAAAACGAATAAATGAACAAATTGGAGATGGGCGAAAGGAACAAACCTGTCACGGATTTGGAGTTGTTCCATCATGCCAGACATTCTTTGCCTATCTGCCTCAGGAAGCGATTCCAAATCGGCTAACATGTTCTTGTCCATACTTGATCCACCGATTAGTCACCGTAGAGCGTAGAGGGTTTTGCGAGAAAATACGGAAGAAACTGCGATTTTGATCGAACCCTAACTCTAGAGTGAGAAGAAGGTAAATATATATATATAGAGAGAGAGAGAGGTGCCGCCACCCATTTCACTTAACCTAGAATGGTGATTTAGCTTTTCAACTTTTTTGCCATTTTTATGTTTTTTTTTTAATAAAAGTAAAAAGATAATTAAATGTTGTTCCTGTCTCTAAGATATTTACTTTTTATTCAATGAGGATATTTTAAGGAATATCATGTTTTTTAACTTCTTTAATTCAAAATTAAATTTTGATCTTAAAAAAAAAATCTATGAATAATTACAAAAAATACATCACAGTATAATTTCTTTATCAAAATATAAACACATGATCTTTATGTTAATAAAATATTTATTAACTTTTTAAATCACGCTATAGTTATATATTTATATTTATATTTTGTCCATTATGAATTTTGATTATATAATAAACTCTTCTAACCAGTTACGTATTGAAAATTTTAAATTTAATTTTGTCTATTCATATATTTAAAAAAATGGTTTATTCATATATTTTGTATGCCTATTAATTTACAAGTTAAAATTATATTTATATATTAAAAAATTTAAATTTATAATTCTCAATTCAAACAAAAAATCCTTTATTTGTTTCTTTAACTTTTTTGAGATTTGAAAGTAAATCAACAAAAACAATAACATAAGACATATCTGTTGAACCCACGTATTGATCATGTCCAGAATCTGTGTTGGAACAATATTATTTTTGAGCAAAATATTTGGACAAAAAGCCCATCTAAATCTAAAGTTTAATTCGATCCAGTTGAAGTAAACTAAGAACTTACGTAGTTTATATTCATTTACTTCTTTTAATCAATTAGATATACAATTTATAAAAAAAACAAATAAAATATCATCATTTTAATTATATATATATATATATATTATTTTTACTCCTATTCTTAATTTTTAAAACAAAAGTAATGATTTTATACTAGTATTTAAAAATTTCAGTTGTGCGAGAAAACTATATAAGGAGGCACTTGGGAAAAATAGTTTTTAGAAAGATTTAACTTATTTTATTTAAGGATTGTAATGAAGAAATATTTTCGATGGTTTGAACGATTCATGTTAGTTTGGATCTATTGATTTCTTTTGGGATAGATTTCAACGAAACTTTCTCCTCTCATTTTGATCGGAAAAATGAAGAAATACAGGTGACATATTATGTGTTCACAATTACGGGTGTTCAAAACTCAACCAATAAAAATAAAAATAAAAAATCGATCACAATTGAATTTTTGTGGATTTTTTTTTAAAGCTTTGGTTTTCAGTTTGATCAGGACAATACAATATTGTTTGTAATAACTGAATTGTAGGTGCAACAACATGACAACAAGATTTTTACGGTAATACATTTCATTTATATTAAGAAATATCCATTTAAATTTTAATTGATTATTTCTTACTACTTAAAATATTAATTCTTATTTTATTTGAAATAGGATATATAATTTTATTTAATTTTAATTTCTTATAATTTAGAACCTGTACAATTATTGAATATAAGATTATATATTTATGTATTTAACAAGTATTTTAACCACATCAATCATCTAAATAAATCCTCTAATTGTTTCGGTTCATTTTTTTGTTTAAATAAAAACCAAATTGTATAGAAATTTTATGTTTAGTTGGAATGACTTTTTCATATAAAATTAAACTAAATCACACTACAAACATTCATATAGCATATTGCAAATTTATCAAACATGTTAACAAGTCAATCATTAGTTGTATTGGATTTATAAGATAAATTACAAAGTCAATAATTATATTATTATATATAAAATAAGACTTGTCATGTATGGTTAAGTAAGAAGACCTTAATTATATGAAATTTTGTCTATTGTGACAAACTTATTATTATCAAATTTATCCTCTCTTTATTCACAATTGACGACTAAAATAGATGTTAACAATATATTCTTTCATGAAGAGTTAACAAAGAAAGTATACAAAAAACTATATCTTATAATACATAAAAGATTTGTCATCTTCACAAATCTTTTTATAGGCTGAAACAATCTAGTTGATAATGGGATATCAAACTCTCTACCTTTTTTATATTCAACAACTATAAACAATTTTTTGTCCAACACTCACTCTTTATAAAGTTTACAAAGTTGAGTAAAATGCAGATGAAATATCTCATAACATTACATAATTTGATAAAAATTTTAAGATAAAAAATTTGAAAAATCTCACATATTTTATTGGTTCTGCAATTGCTTGAAGTAGTACCGGGTTACACCTTTTTCAATGTAAGTATATCTTTGGGCTAACGGTCACATGTTTGTGTTTGTCCTTGTCTACATTTCTATGAACTACTCTACGAAGATTTTTAGGGATAATAATGAACTCTTTCTACTCAAACTTGTAATGGGAAAATGTATATTTTTTGAAAAAAAAAGAAGAAAAAGAAAGAATAAACACCCCCCTAAAAGTTTGTAGTGACTTTGCTGGGATTTCATGTTTTGATATTCTTAGTTTTACTATTAGGTATATCATTTACCTTTAAAATTCTCTTATAACTTGACATTCAAAGAATTTTATCCAAACTTAATATCATGCTATAGTTTCTCTCATTAGTGAGTTATAATAACTCACTTACCTTGTGATGACTTAAGGATAGTACATTTTTAGTCATCCTTATTTAAATGCGACAATCAATCTGTCATTTAAATGGTTTCCAATCTAAATTTTTATGAATAAATCACACATATTAAAATTGAATGTCACATCATGAGAGAAAAAAATATATAATGATCTCATAAAACTCCTCCATATCACTTTTCAATTTTAAAATATTCTAAACGAAGCATTTGCTCACTTCAATCATATTTATTTTAAGTTGAACATGTTAAACTTTTATTAGTTTATAACTTAATTTCAATATTTGTTAATTTATTAGTTTATAACTCTCACTTTTATCTTTCTCACATTATATAATGAACTTATATTTCATTTTCAATCATAATATAAATTTTTTTTCCCTTCTTTCATTTTTGTCCCTCACTTATGCATATTCAATTTCATTCTCAAGATTATATATATATATATATATATATATATATATATATATATATTAATGGAAATATATAATGATTTTTTTTAAATATATAATTTATTTTTAAAAATTATTTAATTAATTATTAACAATAATTAAAAATTTAAAAAATATTCTTTAAAATACTTAATAGATGATTCAACCTTTTTTTCTAAATTGACCTTTTAGTTCATTAATTCAACATATAATTATATTTAAGAACTGCATTCCACAATATTAAAAATTTAATAATAAAATATATTTATGCTTGAATATTTAACCATACCTTACAAAAAGTGGGAGGTTATGTTAATTTTTTTTTTCTACAATTTCATGTACATCTTTGTTTCTAACTTATCTATTATCAACATGATAATATAGAGGTTGATTAGTTTGTACAAATATTTCTTAAGCGATTTGCATTCTAATTAGGTTAAGTTGTGAATGGGTTGGTAAATGTTGCAGGTTGTAATGTGTGTCTGGGTGTTGTGACATTTATAGTACCACGACATTTCATCAATGAATCTGGTAAAATAGGACCACCCTAATAACTTAACCTGAATATCCTATGTGATACTGTTTTTATGTCTATAAATAAGTTTTCAAAATGACAAAATAGGGTAATGCATATAAAATATTTTTACTTGGGAGATTTTTATATTCCACTGATAATCTTATTTTTTGAAGGTATACATAAAAATGATCTGTATCATGCAACAAAGAAAGAGGAAGATAGTCCTACCTTGGTAAATCCTAGACCCCATAAATGGGTTGACAATGATGAAGTGTGAATAGAGAGATATTACTGTTTGAGAGGGAGACATAAAGGATGGAAGAAGCATGCGAAACACAGAGATGGTGAGAGAAAATTGTGAAAATGAGAGAGAAAACGCGTATTTGGAATGGTAATTGTAATTGAGTTGGAATATATAGCGGCGGGGCGGGGTGGAGGTGGAGGTGGAGGTGGAGGTAGAGGGGAATGAGTAATGAGATTGACAGTGACCATGGTGACTACCTGTTGCCTATGAAGTCCCCTGATATGGTCAAATCTCATGAATTGTGTATGCTTAATGGCTGGCATTCTAATTACAAAATCTTTTCTTTAAGTTGTCTACTAATTCACCACTTTAATTTGTGTTGTTTTTTTAATTATTAGAACTTTTATTTAATGTTTATAATTAATAATTTAGATATTAATAATATTAAATAAATATTAAATAAATTAAATTATTACAAATATTAATATAATAATGAAGAAAATATTTTTATTTTTATTTTTATTGTCTATATAGATAATTATATTATGACTTTTATTTCCATAAAATAAATATTTTATTAATTGTAAAATAATATTTATATATAAATCCTAATTTTTACTTTTAAAGTTCATCATTTATAAACATAAGGTCATATAAAATATATATTTATTTAACATATTTCAATAATTATATTATATTTTTATGACATATTTATATAATTAAAAATATATTTTATCCTTTCCATTTTTTTTCTCAACATATATCTTCTTCTAGTCTTTTTATATAAATATATTATTTATAATAATAAAACAAGGATATTATTTGTTTAACTCCTTGCTTTTTTTTCCACATCACACGCTTCCTTTGGATTCCTGAATATTATTTGTAATAATTATGATAATTTGTTAACTTACTTTAAAAATAATAATGATGTCATATTTCAATTGTTGTAATTATTAAATTTGGAAACCATTTAAATAAAAAATAAAACATGATTATTGAGATGAATTAGATGATTCAACAATCTAATTTAACCCAATAAATTAGGTTAAGTTTATATATATATATATATATATATATATATATATATATATATA